AGAGAGAGAGAGAGAGAGAGAGAGAGAGAGAGAGAGAGAGAGAGAGAGAGAAGGAGAAAGAGAGAGAGCTGCCCTAACTCGTGTGCGATCCGCAGGGATGTATCAAACGAAGCCATCGAGCGCAGAGAGAGGAGAGACGCGAAAGAGAAAGTGGCGGGAGATGGTGACGGTGGTGACGGCAAGGGTGGCGGCAGAGAAGGGACGATTGTAGGATGGAAGAGCGAGGAATCGAGCGCAACAGGCGTGGACGCATGTGCCGTTCTGTTTCAGCTCTCTGTTCTCGTAATTAGAACTATTCGCGCGTCCGCTTTTTAATGCATCAGCTGTGACTGAATAATCGTGCAAATTGAACGGCACGTGCAGCCAGAGGAAGTGGAGCGTTCCGCGTGAAATAAAAAGGGTTCTGAAAAGCTATTGCTTTCGTCCTTCTGGATCTGAGTTGCTAATTTTACAAAACACGTAGCGGCGTACGAAAAAGAAAAAGAGAAAACAGCTACGCTGGCAACAGCTACGGTTGCAGGGTCGAACAGGCGCTTCTTTCATCTTGAAGGGTGCGCTAATAATTCCTATAATTAAAAATCCTCAATCTCACCTACTATCACGAGAAGACGCGGTCGATTATGCAGGACAATCGAGTGCTCCCAATTATCGCCGCAATGATCTTTACTTATTCATTCGTCGACCAGACTTTTCTCTTTTGAAGATACAAGAAGATAGTCCGTACGGAACAGCGAGACGAGATACAAAGAGAATTTCCCGCACGTCATACCCAACCCAAGTAGCTGTATAAACTCTCCGCAATCGTGCCCGCGATTGTTACACGCAAAGCGCCTCGCGAACAGCACCATGCCACCGTCGTGCCACACCGATCGAGGCAAACAGGTGTCCTTGTGCTATATTGCAATTATTGACGCGTTGCGCTTCGCAGTCACCGCGATAGTCTGGACCCCGGCGAGAGGGTGTACGATCGGGATAAGCCCTCGACGGGCCTACGAGATTCTAGGTCACGCCGGTGAAAACCACCGTAAGCATGCCCCGATTTTACCACGTGGCCGTCCAGGGACTCCCCCTCGTCTCACCCTGTATGGCCGGGTCGAAAAAGTTCTCGCCAGGGCTGTACCTGTCTCAAGAGACTGATGAGACCTGGATGAGAAAGCGTTTGCCCGTCTCTCTTGAGCAAAACGAGAAGGGGAAGAAGAAATTGATTGCGACGCTGGAATATGGTAGTAGACAGGGAAACTGTGAAATAAATTAATCATGCGTTAACGCGAGCGTTGCGCAACGCTCTGGGCCTAGCGGGACTTTATGTGACCTATTTTTTCCTCTTACAACCTAAATATCCATATATGGCGTAGAGACGTTAGCTTTAAAGTAGCTATTTATTAAGTCGAAAAAGAGACGACTCTTCTACAATATTTTCCTCAGGACAATAAAGAGTTTTCAGAATTATTGTACAAATTATACAGAATTGTTTATTCGCTGATAAGTAACAATACATTAAATTTCAAAGGATAGAAACATCCGCGTAGTGTCTATCTTCAATTTTAATGAAACTTGACACACTTGTGGAGTAATTAAAATTAAAGAATACGTATTTTATCCCGGCTGACATGCAAGTTTAGCGTTTTGGAGTAAAATTGTTAAAATCCACAAAAATTATGAATGTAGCACAGACACACACTAAATGACTATTTTACCGACGTTGCCGGAAAATAAGTACAGCTAAGTAGTTCCATCTTGAACATGAGCGCAGATGGCGTATCAAACAGTCACCTGTATTGAGCTTTAGACCACATTGAGATATGTACTGTTATACTTTTTTTATTTTATTTGTTGAAATGAGATAGAAAATTTGTAAAAATCAGTATTATTGAGAAAAACTACGTTACACTCAAGTAATCGGCACAGTAGATTAAATAAAACCAACCTTGTTGCTGTTCAAGTATCCTTCATGATCAGCAGTGTGCGTGTATTCCAATGTGGTATAGAGATCAATGCTGAAACCGATGTTGTTCGCACCCCACTGTCAACGCTTTCACTGAATTATTCATATAATCCTGTGCCGCACAACATGCCTTGCTGAAATTTCTCCGTAGACACCGCGTACCATCATTTCGGCCTCTACCAGAACTGGTTACTGCGCAAGACCATGAGTAATGGCTTCTAACATTGAAGCTCCTGCGTTCCGAAATGTATCGAAAATATTTTGTTCAAATCGTCTTGCAAATGACTATGTACCAAACTGCATAAATGACGCATTTACCAATTTCTCATTCGTTTCCTACGATTTTCAACCTCGTACCTATAACCTGGTGAAAATGAAATAGCTCCTGACAAATAAGACACTCTCCGAGATAAAGGAAGAGACGCATTGACATTGCATCATTAGTTTGCAGACGCACTGTGTAAGATTGTAACAGGTTCTCGAGCCGATATTTAATCACTCAATAATGTGTCGCACTGTACCCCAATTAGAGCTCGAAGAAGTATTCCAATAAAGAATTACGAATGTGCTTGACATAAGTGGTGTTTAAACACTGACCCACCTCGTCGACCTTGAAGGAAAGACATAAAGGGTCTCGCGAAGGATGGCGCAGTGCTGGCGGGGCGATTATGGTTCCCGTTATTGGCCTGGCAAATGATTCAGGTAACTTACAGTCGGCATAGTCACGATTTACGACGACTAATTGCGATGGATGTGGGCAAACAGAACAGTTGTACGACATGGCCACGTAGTTGCTCCGTTCTTTCCACGAGTCGCGCGATTAAGCACTTGGGTGTGGATGCCGATGGAATGGAAGAAAACCTGATGACTCCGAGGGGAAGAAGAAACATTGCGCGCTCGTTTCGAACACGCTTAGATGCCAACTAAAGCTAACGGAATATTTTGACAAGCCGTGCTTGTTGTTCAGTCGATTCATTATTGATCGGAAAATTTCTCCCTTCGAGCCTCGAAAAGATCGAAAACAATGTACGTACGCATCGTTTGCACTTTGAAAATTGTGATAACTTTAGCGGGAAGTACAGATACGAAGAAATCGCTTTTCGTCCACCATTTTTGCGAGTCAGTTTCAAAGTAGTTCAAAAAAGAACATTTATGAACATCTCATTATTTGATGCAGGACGAAGAGATACATCTCTGCTGTTTCCACTTCAATACTTTTGAATTGGTAAGTATAAGGTGTGAAGCACAATAACGTCCCCTTCTCTTCTGTCCTCGCAGTTGTACTTGGTGAATAGCATTCGGCGTCGGCGTCGGCGTCGGCGTCCACCCAAACGTCAGCATGATCTACAAAGCGCATGCGGGGAAACAGCTTTTCGGCCGACGTAGATGCTTTTGCATGAGAGACCATGCTCTGAGTTTATCAAACGGTGTTTAACCATCGCATGAAGCGCATATTTTTCGACCAGCATCTCCCGGTTACCATTCAGTCAGTTTCTCGATTTGACCAATTTCTCGAAGTTCCAGATCGGTCCGGCGAAGCTTCGCACTGTACTTTTATTGCAAAATTTCACGAATCAGCGACTTTGCGATTTGACTGAACTGGTAAATCGTAATATAATTTGATAATTTGATTGAAATTCAAATCTGTTCGGCTGGTCTACTCTCTTTGAACGACCAATGTTTAGTGTGGCTACTAGTAATTTTCTAAGATTCATCCAGTGTTAAAATACGGCACGAAGTCGTAGCCAATCGCAGCAGATTCAACAAGTTTTTAGAGCAAGAAGACTCTTCTCTTTTATTAATTCGGCCACGAGTGTTAAAGCCTGAACCATGTTCAGCTTTCGGAAAAGAGGCGGTTTGAGTATCAGCCAGATACCGATGTCGATCGGCGATCTGTCACGGTTTCCGCGATCGCTTCACCGGGAAGCGATCACCGTGCGTCCGAATAGTTCGGAGATGGAAATGGCGGAGCAACTGGACAACACCCAGGACGGCTCCACGCCGTCGCTTTGCTTTCTTCTGGACTTCTTCCATATGTACTACATACCACTCATCATCCTTCTGGGTTTGGTGGGTAACCTGCTATCGTGCATAGTCTTTCTCAAGACACAGCTGAGGACACGCAGCTCCAGCTACTACTTGGCGGCGTTATCCATCGCCGATTCCGGCTTCCTGGTAACACTGTTCCTGGTGTGGCTCAACAGCACGGTCGGCTGGCAGGTGTTCAACAAGGAAGGCTGGTGCGAAACGTTGGTCTACGTCAGCTCGGTCTGCAGCTCGCTCAGCATTTGGCTGATCGTCGCCTTCACCGTGGAGAGGTACATCGCCTTCCGATATCCGCTGCATCGGCCATACATATGCACCGTCGAGCGGGCCAAGTCGATCACCCTGGTGCTGGTGCTCGTCGCCATGCTCCTTCACATGTACGCCTTCTTCTTCGCCGGGGTGGTAAAGACCGAAGAGGGTGACGAGTTCTGCGACCTGAGGATAGAGCATCTGGAGGCCATGCGGATCATTAGCATCATTGACAGCATCATCAGCCTGATCGCGCCGATTGTAGGTATCATCGTGATGAACACCATGATCGTGAAGAACCTGCTGTTATTCCGCAGGCTGCTCGCTCGGAACCGCGCGGAACCCTCCAACACTGAAAGCGAACACAACGACGTCAATGATCATACTTATGTCAATGATATCCCGGTAGGTCTCACTCATGGCTTCTTGGTTGGTTGCACTCGTGAAAGTATGTGTATCCCTGTTTAAGATTTAGCTTATTTCAATCTAAATTAATGTGAATCAATAAAATGATGATTGTTACGTAGAAATCAGATTGAACGTAATGTAAACTTATCGTTTTGCATCCATTATTTTAAGCAAGTTGTCCACGCACTTTGTTTTGGCCTACAGCTTTTCTCTCTTTTGCGGTTATAAATTATTGACATATTATTCTAACATGTTGTGTATATGTAAGTGTACATATATATATATATATATATATATATATACAGCAAGATATTTAATAAATTTTATTCAAGCATTTTTATAGACTGACACGCGTGTAATGGATGTTCCATTTATAATCGCTCTTAAATGTTACTGATGTTGCGAGGTGCGACATATAAAATGTGATATGTGTGTTACTCGTTGAGGAAAAATAAAAGGTTGAATGATAAATAAGAGACAATTGTTATAGGAGAGGATTTTCTTAACTACTGATATTAGTGACAGATGTTGGATGCACAATTTTTATTATATTATAAAGATGATATAAGACCGGCATAGATTCCACATATTAATAACAAACATACAAAATAGTTTCAAATTAATTTTTTTTTAATTTTCATATTTCTACGAATATGATATCTCTAAGCTATGAGATTTATAGGGAGTCGAAGTAATAAAGTTTACGTTACGACGTAATTATTTTACAATTAACAAACTTCTCAATTTCAAATGCTTCATATATAAAACAAACATTACAGAATTTATAGATATAGCCTCTTATTATGGATTTTCTTTATCGATAAAAGTATGTTTTTAAACATGACTAAGGATCAATTCGAATGTTTATGAGACACATTTAGAAACTTTCATTAGTAACATTTAGACACTTTTATCAATAAAAAATTCAAAATAATGGTTATGTATTTTTGTCTCAAAACTCCATTTACTCGATTAGTATTCATTGCAGGAGGGAACATGTCTCTCTTCTTGCTCGTAGTTTTAACCAAAAACCACCCTCCGCCATCATGATGGGTATTTTCTTGCTCAATACCAGAGGAATCTTCATTTTGACGTCGGGCTCGAGATCGCATCGCCATAGCATGTAGAATAGCATAATTTTCATCTCTAACAGAGCGAATCTGTTGCCTATGCAGAGTCTAGGCCCTATGCCAAACGGAAAATAAACCGAGTTGTCCAAATTATCGTCCAAGAATCTGTCCGGATTGAACTTTTTCGGCTCCGAATAGTAATTGGAATCATGATGTACCGAGTAACTCGAAAACCAGATGCAGTCTCCGACTTTCACCGTGGTCGGTTTGCCGTCCGGAGTCGCCGGTGGCAGCTCGAACTCCTTAACGCATACTCTGTCGAGGAAGGCCGCTAAAGGATATAATCTCAGAGTCTCGTTCAACACGGCGTTCAAGTACTTCATGCTATTAATGGCTTCGTATGTAGGTTTCCCGTCGTTCTTTCTGAGAACTTCCTCGATCTCAGTCCTCAATTTGTGCTGGACATCGGAATTCATCGCGACTTCGTGTACCAGGAAGCACATTGCCGTTGACACGGAATCGAATCCACCTAAGAAGAAGATGAATGCCTGGGCGGTCATCTCGTCGATGTCGAACATTGGTCCGGTACTTTGGCCCCTGGTCTCCATCATCAGCTGAATCATGTCCGGACGACTGATGCCCTCCTCGTCCCTAACCTTCACCACGTTACTGACGAGATTTTTAAAGAAATTCTCGACTTTTTCGCTGAACATTCGCACATTAAACATTTTCACGATTTTTGGGAAACTTATGTTCAACATAAACTTCAAACCTAAATTGCTGTCGAAATTCATGGCCTCTCTACCGAGACGATAAAACTCATTGTTTGGATCTTTGAATGAGTTCAAACTGACGCCGAAGGCGCAAGTGGCCACCACATCGTTAGCGTATTTGCACATTTCTTCTTTCACATTTATCGTCATGCCTACCTTGGAGTTGTTGGCCATATGAGTGCTGAAGTTGTCAGCGCACTGGCACATTAAGTGAAACATTGTTTTCAACTTGCTGGACGTGAAGGCTGGACTAAGAAGTTTCCGCATTTCGCGCCAATGATCGCCTTTCAGGCTGAATAGGTTTTTACCTACCAACCGGTCGACGTCATTGTTAACGAAGCTACGGTGATCACAGAAGCTGTCGAAGTTTTTGATGGTGATCGTATTGATTAGGTCCGGGTCGCGAATCACGAGGGTCGGAGTCATAAAATTGTAAATGCCGAAGTACTTTGTGTTGGAGAAGCGTTCGTACAATTTTGCAATAGTCTCCGTTATGGACAGACGTCGGAAGAAAACGGGCGCCATGTTGCCCAATAAGATGAACGGTTTCTCATGTGGAACGTTCAGCTTCTCAAAGTGCATCATGTTACTCTTCATGATTTTATATAAGTAAGCACACGCCGTGAGGACGGCAAGAAGTAGGATCGTGGTTACCATCGTAATTTCCAGACTAATTATTGATGAAAAGAACATTACAACTCGTAACTGCTGGTTCTGCTGGTCGTGTTTCTCAAGTTTACTGCATGTCTCTCAAGTCTTAACTAATTTCTTCGTGCTCAGTTATAGATAGATGTTATTTATATCTTAGTGATTGCGAAATTCACGTTTCCCCCAGTTGTGAATCTTATCTCCCTTCAAGTTTAAAAACGTCACACGCGGTTGTAGGGATGTTGATATTCTCGAGAAAAGATAGCCGTCGGTTGTACGCAGACGACTCTCGACTAAACCGCAGTGTCGATTACAAGTGATATCTCTGTCCACTGCAGTGAGTTTTATATTGAAACAGAGATACACAGTCAACTTGGAGGACAATTAATGTCAATGGACATATGGTGTGCGTAAGCTTGAAATCTTCTCTATCATTGTTTATCGAAACGAGATAAATTTTTTTGCGATAATATACGCAAACATTTGTTGAAGCTACATTATTGAAAAGTTTATTCCGTGAATGCACGGAAATAAAAATTTTAGTAAACAAAGAATAGACCAATATCTTGAAATATCGATTTTATGCGTATCTTTTAAACATTTTCGTTTAATATTTTAAAAACATTTCAAAGGTATTATTAGATAATACAATTCTTTTAAATATTGCAAAATTGTTTTAGAAATATTAAAATGTCGCAATTATTCGTAATAATGCTGATACAACGTTAAAAACTACATATAAGAAAACGTTACATGTTGCTAAATGTCGTTGCAATAACGATATAATTAAATTATATTTAATGATTTTTTGCTTATTGGGATATAATTAAGGGATGAAGACTATTTGAGAAGCAAAAAAAATTTATTTGCAACATTTCAAGCTGATATTTTTGCATTGCTTCTTTATATTATTTAATAATTGACATATAAGACGACATTTACGTGCGTTATTAATAACGAATTATTAAAAACACGCGTTTTCTCTAGTAGGAAGATAAGCTACATGAAGATGAGCTGAAATAAAACACCCGTTAGAAAAAGCATATCGTTAAAGTCAATAAGTATAATTGACCCCGAAACTCGTGGAACGACCTTCGCTCATTGCAATTCTGACTTCCAATCATGAAACCGAGAATCATGACGTAAACACTTGTTTGCTTAGATTCGTAACTTATACAGGATATTTCAGATTCATCTCCGCGAATTTGAAACACCCTATAAAATATATACATCTACTTTAATATAAAATCTACTTGCTACTTTAGTATAAAATCTACTTTAGTATAAAATCTACTTTACACAGCAATCTGACTTTAAATAACACGAAAATGATTTCGTCTCATACCAATTATTCGTTCATCGATGACAGAGATCATTTTTCGCAACTTCAACCAAAAATCTCTCTTCGCGATCATGACGCTTTCTTATTGAACACCATGGGAATCTTAGTATCAACAATAAGTTCGAGACTACATCGCCACAATTGGTGGGACACAATGAGTACAGAAACGAAAAAGTTTTCGGTAGTTTACCGCTATAAGGGAATTTATCACACGGAAAAAAATTTGCTTGAATTAACAACCACTCAAGATTGAGCAGTTGCAATTACTGGCTAACCAGAAATCTTGTTTAGTTAATTAGAATCTTGTTAACTTGAACAGAATTCTGATAACTTTAATCACGAAATTTTCCTAGATATATTATGGCCTATTATTTACTTAATGATTAGCATAAAGTACTAATGTAGCATAAAATTAGTATGAATGCAAAGATACGTTCTCATACAATGAGAATTTTCCGGCATGTAAAAGAAGGTATCTGATGCCATGAAAATTGCTGTTTATTTTACCGGAAAAAGAATTAATCCAGAATTATATACCAATAAAAAATAGATATTTTAATAAAAGTAATGGCGCAATAAAGATGGGCATTTTTCAAGACTAGCATATTTTATACACATAATGCTGTTTACAATAGCATCACAAAGTATGAATTATATATTTGCATGTAGTGTTCAGCATTTTTGAGCTGGTTCGTTCATACTTCACCGAATATTTGATTAATCCAACCAAATTCTTTTTTCCATCTACTAATATAATATCTGGGCCCAATATTAAATGGCATTGAAATATATCAATTTAATCCAAATAATGTAATCCAGAGACACTGGATTAAAGGATAAGGATGATTAGAGATAAAATCGTAGTCTCCATCGCGATAATTCGAATAATTTTCGAATTAATGTCTAGGTATAGCTTCCGGAATGGAGCCGTGTCTTGAATCAGCGATATGCCGACGTTTCGCAAACGTTGCAGTTTGCATCATCAGGGCTGAGAACTCTGATACTGAGCTCCCTTGGGTAAAGGTAGTCCTTATATGCCCCCCTCCCCCCCTTTGTGTAGATGGTGTTTAGGGAGTAGGGGACGAGGCTTGAATCCAGCCAATCAGCGTGTTTTAATTGATCAGCTGATCAATTAAAAAACCGGGAGGGCAGTATGCCAAATAGAGTTTACTTGCATACCTTTGTCTCGGTTGAAGTTGTTGGGATGTTTCAAAATTTCTAGACCTTCACGATGTTTTCTGGCAAAATAACTCTGTGAGGGAGCCAATCTGGTGGCTTTTTCATATTGTACGGAGTGTCCAGTCTCCATCCAGTGTTCAGCTAGGGGGGCATATAAGGACTACCTTTACCTAAGGGAGCTCAGTATCAGAGTTCTCAGCCCTGATGATGCAAACTGCAACGTTTGCGAAACGTCGGCATATCGCTGATTCAAGACACGGCTCCATTCCGGAAGCTATACCTAGACATTGTATCAATGGCCGTGAAAGCCTCAAATCTAGTAATTTTCGAATTAATTCCACGAATACAAAAGTCGTAATTTTCGCTTTGTTGACTTCCTACAATAAGGAAAATTATCTTCACTGGGGATAATTAGATTGTTATCAGTCATATCGGAAGATTATTGATATAATTATTGGTACATAATTAGTCGAATTATTGGTATTATTGACTTTACATGTATTGATATTATTGTTATAGAGGAAAGTAGCCAAAAGCGACATAGGCCTCCTAAAGCGACATACCTCTATATCTCATATATTAAATGTTGTATTTTATCGAAACTAATATAAACGTAATTCGTTTTATCAGTTAAGTCATGAAAAATTCATATGTGATATATTTCTTGCTCTTTTATATGCTAAATTAGCAAATATCGAGTTTTAGAAATTCGTAAGTTTTATTTTTGACTTTTATTGACGAATTACGTAGACTAATAATAGCGATAATAATCTTTTTGCTTAATATTAAATTCTTCTACATGCATTTGGCTTTTGTATAAATATTTTTTAAATATTTTTATCTTCATTATTTTTTTGTATAACTTGAAAAATTTCTGTATAACTTGAAAAATTTTATGAGAATGTGTCTTAAAGTGACATATCTCCTACAGTATGCGATAAATGCGATACTCTGTGACTTACATAACTTGATTCTAACCTCCCATTGTGACATGATATTTGTTTATTTTAAAGTTTAATTCTGTTTAGATTAAAAATATAACGTATGTAAAATATGTGAGAAATGAAAAAGATAGAAATGCCAAAGATATGTTTTTATTTAATTATATTTTCCTTTTGTAATATTATATTTTGAATAAATGAATATTATTCAATCATTAAACGCATTAAGGAACTATTTATTATCAAATATTATCATATATGCAACACGTTATATAACTTCCAATAGGTATGACGCTTTTGGCACTCATTTTCTTGGAACTTCATTTTCGTGCGTTTTATAAAAATGTTTTTTGTTTTAAATATAGAAACAATTTCAGTAAAAATATGATATTATTTGATAGAAGATACTTCCAACTACATGTATATATATATTTACATTTATATTTTGAGCTTTACATTAAGACATAACCTTCAAAAACAAAGGGTATATCGCTTTTGGTGTTTTTACTCTATGTTCACTTTCATTTTGTCGGCCAGTGACGATCTCTTATAGTGACGATAGCTTATTTATAATATGAACGCTTCAAATAATCGTTTTATGTCTCATTATTTCGAAAACTTTTCCTCTTATTGCTGTTTACGTACATGTACAGAAATTTTCGTAGAATTCGTCTCGTGATTTTTTGGTCTCTAATCTCTATTATATAATATTATATAATATAGGCCACTCTATTAGTCGTTGGCGTTAGAACTGATTCTGCATATTATTTTCAATATTTATTCTCAGAATCGTTACCGTCGCGATATCAAATTTCGAATTAACTACGTAAATATACAATTCCTATTAATTGTTCTTTCCTACATAGTTAATTTCGTAATATCTCGTAATATCTGTTATACTATTTATATAATCAATATCTTATCAACCTGATAACACAATGCGATAGCAGCACATCCGTATCTTATACGTACATTTTGCGATATTGAATATTTTTTTGTCATTGATCACGCTCTCGCATATTAGTATCTGTTTTTCCTACATAGTGTAAATAAGAAAAGTATTATAGAGTAAATATAAAGAATAAGAAGTAAATACGAAAGAGTAAAGATTAATCAATAATGCGTGTTTATAACTTTAATTACTTTATTTATCTATGTACTTAAAGAGAGAGATAACGGAAAAGCTTATATAATTAAATGTCCTAATAGCCAGACATTTAACGGCATAGTACTACAATTGCTTAATTTTGTAAAAATATATAATATTTAATAATGTAAAAATATAATTAATTAAAAGCTGAGACTTTAAGAAGTATTATTAAGATATAAAAGACTGTAAAATTATCAAAATTATTTAAAAAATAATTTGCAAGAGTAGGAATATACTAATACCCCGACAATGTCCCTATTGTTAAACTCAGTTGACCCAAAATCTGAATATGATAATTAAAATAAAATGACAAATAAATTCGTCATATTTTGATTGATTTTTTTTATTTTTTCCGTTTTTTATGTCCTCCAAAGCAGCATTCTCGTCCTTATGTGTATATGACTTTTTTCTTATGCTTTTGGCATATTTATGTTCTTATAAAAAAAACAATAATTCATACGGTATTAATGCAGATAACACTGCAAAGTGTTTGCATGGATGTCGTTCGGAAGTTATATTTTAGAAGCTACCCAGATAGCACAGAGAATTCTAAAAGAATTCAGTCATATATTACCAATTCTGAGTTAATTTTTAGATACAGATATTTTTAGGTAAAAAGAATTCTTTTTACTGAACTGAACTCTGAAGAATTCTTTTTACATCTGAAAATGAACTCAGAATTGGTGACATACGACTGAATTCTTTTCGAATTCTTTTTGAATTCTCTGTGCTATCTGAGTATATAGGTATAGAGGTTATATAGTTAAAATATACACTTTCAAATTACATTTATTAATGTGTCAATATTTACTTACTCTTTAAACTTTTGTTGACAATAATTTTAATTAACTTTACTTATAAAAATGTTGTGATAGCAGTTATTTTTCGATTTGCTTGTTGTTACACGCGAGCACATGTGTAACGCGAGTTGCATCGATAAATGCATACTGAATGTATGGCCGGTTACTAGGCAGTCATGAAATTATTGTACCAATAGCTAAATTCATAAAATTTAACTACAAATAAATTTTTTTATTAACTAAATGTATTCTTATAAGTATTCTTTACTATTTCCGGAATATATAACGTAATGCTTATGAGATAAAAACAATAAAGTGAATAAAAAATATCTTAACAAATATATCAAACTTCTTAACAAAACGTTAAGAACATCGTGAAAATATATCCTGTATCTAATCATGTTGCAGTTTTCTTTTTTATTAGATAATAATTTTTATAATACTTAAAATAATTCAACATATAAATGTTTTTAAATATTGATAGATTTTAATTAATATTATACTAAGAGAAATAATTAAGATTAATAATAATAATTTTCCGCGTATATGTCCGGATATAGGGACATGTCCGGCTATTGGTACCTTTACCTTAATAGAATTTGATTATTTTAAGAATTTAATTAGCGAATTTTTTAATTGGTCGTAAGAGTTCAGGAAATGTGTTGTAATCTCATTAATCTGGCAAATCGATTCTGACATAACGAGCGAGACAGATACGAAACAGAAAATCGAATAATTCATAGAATAAAGAACAACATTTATTATTGTATTTTTAGACCGTCCAAGCCCGCATTAACAAACACCGCGATATAAATCCAGTTTCATTTACCGATGAAGACAGGAGTGAAACAGTTTTTGAGACAATAGGTGAGTTAGTCCACTGTAACACAAGATTAAAACCTCTTTTTCGTTTCATTAGAATCTATTTAAAAAAATTATTAAATAAAACGCTCGCAGAAATTGAACGTCCGCTGAAGTATGTGTCAACGCCTATTCGGCCAATTCGTTTGTCGCCATCGGTTTCTTCATCTACCAGACGATACGGCTGCGTATGGCCTGGACCAGAGTACCTTGTCGAGGAGAAAGAGGATAAAAATGTTTTCGAATCGATAGGTAAGTCGATCTACTGTACAGAAAGAAAGAGCTACTGCAACAAGAATATGTGTTTTGTAGCTAAATTTTGTCGTATATCAGTATTTCTACAAGTACAGCGTACTTACACCAACATACTCATAGGGAGAGAGTGGCAAACTCTATCACGTGACCCCTCTCTTCTGATTGGTTGCGGGCGTCAAGGCTTCTCGTACTTATGATGCACTGCATCTACTAGGCATTTTAAAACATATGAAAATAGAAATCTAAAAATAATGCATATATTTGTAGATTTATTTCACGTATATAAATTCGAAAAGGCAAATATTTTCAGGATTAATAATGTATCACTTACGGAGACCCGATTGTTTTATCGCTATCAACTCTTGCCTAACCTAATCTTGTACACTTTAGAGAGCTTTAGTTGCAGCAGCAACCTTTAGTTACAGCAATAAATAAATTTTTAGCAAACCATGATTAGCTGCAACAGTGAACTCTTTTTTTGTCCATGTGTGACATCAGATTTCAGTCTTCATCGTTGGAATACCTATTTTGACGAAATCAACAAAACAATTTATTTTGCGCTTCACAGAAATCGGAAGTCCGTTGAGGATGACTCCGTCATCTTCGCCTCTTCCGATTCGTTCACTGCCATCTTTGATTCCTTCATCGGCAAAACGATACGACTGCGTATGGCTCGGATCGTGGTGCACTCTTCAAGAGGAGAACGAGAGATATTTCGAATCGATGGGTATGTTAAGCACATATTAACAATCGTTATTTGAAACTCTTCTCGAAGGAGATACTTGGATTCAACTTCAAAATTAGATGAAAATTTTTCAGTTAAATCGCAATTGTTGATCTAATGTCACATGTATCATATAATTTAACTGAAAAACAAATGGCATGAGGCGGAGAATTTAATTCTAAAGCGCGTATTAATCGTGCAATTTGTTTCATGACTACATGAAACTTGTTGCATGTGAGATATTTATTTAGATTTTTATTCAGAGTCCGATTCAAACTTTTCAGCTGAATTATAGTATATGCGATATTAATATCTGTAATCGCGCGATTCAACTGGAAAATTTTCATTTAACTTTGAATTCAAGTAACTGAATGTTTCATTAGAGACGAGTTTCAAGTAACATATATTAATATGGAACTGAGTGTCTTTCGTAAGACAAACTTCAAGTAACGACCATTAATATACAGACTTTACTCCACTAAGATTTAAATCTCTCACTGAAGAGTGTACTTTAGAAGCGAAACGACTTGTCTTTCACTTCTCTCACAGAAATCAGGAATTCGAGATACGTGTCAGCCCCCACACCCTCGCCAAGTCACTCACCGTCTCCAAAAATAAACCACATATACATCAATCAATGGGACAACGTTCGGATCGGACCGGCGTGCAATGTTGAGAAAGAAGAGGAAAATGTCTTCGAATTTATAGGTAAGTTGCAGTTTATCGCCACGTAAGATCTAAGTCTTTTGACTAAGACAATGCTTAAGCGGATGACGAGCTTTCTTGAAACACTCATCGGTGATGAAAGCCGCTTTGCATGGAGAACTGCAAATCTCTGTGATGCTGTGTTATTATGCGTGTTTAGCAAAATTCAAACGGAACCATTTGTCTCACAGAATTCCCGTCAATGCCAGAACGCCGGCCGGAACGGCAACGTCCTATCCCGGAGACGCCACCTTCTTTACCCCAACGCGCAAATCACCATCGAATCTCGAACATTACGGAATCCCATCATTTCTCGAGCCACCAGAGTACCACCAAAGTGCTCTTACTGATCAGTACTGTCTTTATAGTGCTGAATTTGCCCAGGTAAGCAGTGCATAATCTCTCTCTGTTTCATGAGATAAACTTCTCAAGAATTGTCGCTGAAACTCGGAATATATATTGCATACGCAGCAAAATGCATATTACACACTTACAAACTTAAAAAAAGGGAAATAATCACTTTTCTTAGCAGAAAGTAGAATGATATTTTTCTGTGTGCAGTTGAAATATTACCTAACTGCTAATGCAATCAGAAAAAAATTTTTTGACTGTTCAGAAGTTGAGATGTTTGTAATTAAAGTTAATACCTTTCTAACACAAGTTTCCTATACTATTTTAAAATTAGCGTTTCATCTTCTAATTTTAATTTCTAAACAAGTCGTCCCGCTTTCAGCTACATCATCCGTTTATGCGTGTTCTTCCTCACCTGGGCGGAGAAGGAGACGCCGGCCTTGCTATGGTGTTTGCAGCAATTATTCATGCTGCCTTATTACACCAACTTCAGCATCAACTTCCTCTTGTACGCGATGTACGGCGTGGCCTTCCGCAGTTGTCTACGAACGATATTGCGGAAAGCGATGAAGTGTGAGGAAGCATCACAGAGATTGAAATAGGTTTTCATAATTTGCGTTTTTTCCTCCTAACGACCCATCAATAATGTTCTCTTTTGACATCACGCATTTCACGAATTTCACATGCTTTTTATCCAAGAGAAGAGAAAAAATGAAGCCTATTTATACACTTATATGCGTGTATGTAACGTGCATTAAAGATTATTTATATTAACTCCACTGATTGTATCTATATTATTATTTATATTATCACGTATATTATATGAATTAATATTAACAACACTATATAACAACTCTCTACATGATAATTATAACTATATAACTATATGATATAAATAATTATAACTATCTCATTATCTATGTGACTTGTATTACGCTTAGTTCATTTGAATTTGCAAGAAATTGGAATTGTAAATAATAATCGCTTCTATACATGATAGACATTTAAGTAAATAAATTATTGTTTCCGAAGAAATTTGAGGAGAATTTTATCGTTCGTCCGCTCTTTCTATTACAAGCATTAAAATTTTACCTCGCAGTAAATTTGCCTCCTATACGGTATCTGTTCGCGCAGCATTCGCGACGGCCATTACGATATCTTCAAATTCCATTACGCCAAGAATGAGTAAATGTTTAAGAGTTAACGTCGGAGTGAGTGTCATTTGTACGCCGGTTTTTTTTAAAAGTTCTTCGAAATGATGGGCCTTCATTTTAGGTTCTCGCAGAGCTTGTATCACACCAATATAAAGCTTGAACGCTTCAATCTGATTTTTCATAGTAAGTGCAACAGTAACTACATCTGCTCCAAAAAAAACAATATATCAATTTTGCCATAATAAGTAGCGGTTTCTCGTTGAACCGCGAATTGTGTGTACTATGCATTTGGCACTTGGTGAATGTTCTAAGTTTCATATCCACCTACTTGGATTGTCTTGAAGTATTTCCGCGCAACGCGATATGGTTTTATGCAAATCAGCAACTATACCTTCGATCTTATGCGCGTCGATGTTTACTAGAGGATTTCCCATCCACATTTCTTGCCATTTTAACCAATCTGTGCGCCAACATTTAGAAAAATTACAGATATTTCAATTGCATCTGTTACAAGAACTAACAAAGTGATATAATAACGCGTTGAAACGAGATTAATAATTGCAACTACTTGAATAAATCAGTAATGAAATAAGTTATATTATTGTGAAATATGTTATACTGAGAAAAAATATTTGAATGTTTATTTGTGAAATGTAAAGTTCACAGAAATAAACTTTATATATTCTACAAATAAATATGCAATTTTCCTTTTTTTCTATATTACAGTATGTTTGATAAGAGCGTGTACGGCAAAACTCAAAAACTTAGGATAATACATAAATTGAAAAAATTGGTACATATTATGCATGATATAGACTGCGATGCTTTATTATTAATAAGTTGTCCAGTCGTCTCCATTATCAATAATTGACTGGCATCTCCGAGGCATACTTTCTACTAATTTTACAGCATAATCTTCAGACAAAGATTTCCATATAAATCGAATCTGTCGAATTAACTGCTTGACGGTCCATATTTTCTTTCCTCGGAGCTTAAACTTTATAAGCGCCCAAACATTTTCAATTGGATTTGCATCTGGCGACTGTGAAGGCCAATCCAGTACGTCAACGTCATTTTCTTGTTTCCACGCAGTACAAAGTCTACTCCGATGTTTCGGATCATTGTCCTCTTGCAGTAGCCAATTTTCATTTTTCCTCGTAAACCACCTTTGGGCAGATGGTAATAAAGCTCTCTCATATATTTGGACCATTTTAGCAGCATCCAAATTTTGTGTAAAGATGTGTAAAGTGCCAAATCCCTGTTTTGAGAAACAGCCCCAGACGTGCACCTTTACCGGATGTTTAACGGTCCGCTCGATGAGTCTATTGGCCTGGGTAGACCAGACACGTCTGATAGAAGACTTTGCCCAAAACGAAGCTTCATCTGAAAAAATTACGTTGCCCCAATAGCGGTCCAAATTTTCTTTTGCCCAAGCAAGTCTTTTTTCGACGTGTTTTTCAGACAGCAACGGTTTCGTTATCGTGCTTCGAAATTTCACTTTATGAGCCAGTAAACGTCTTCTTATAGTATGACATGATATATTTAGACCCTTTTTAAGTAAAACCGCTTGCCCGCCACGCAATGATAAACAAGGATTCTTCTCAAACACCCGTAAAATCATTTTGTCCTCCTTTTTCGTCGTTTTCTGCACAGAGCCACGATCCGGCAAGTCATCAACGTTTTTGACCTCGGAATAACGTTTCACCCACTTACTCACAAACGCCTTAGACTTCTTCATATACTTAGCAGCCGCTCCGCGCGACATTTTTGGTCCTTTCGGATGCGAACATAGAAACACAGCTTCGTAACGTGATGCGTACGCGGCACTCATGTTGAAATACGCCCTTTTGTAACGAAAGTCAAACGATAACTAAGGCTTTCTAGACAAAGCATCTTGGGAGAAGAGCCCCGCTATTGGCTCGCGTTCATATCCTCCCTCTAACGATTTCGAGGAAAAAGTTTTGCCGTACACGCTCTTATCAAACATACTGTAACTTGGAAAATTTGGTTTTGACATGACGCACGTTTTCTTATCGATATCTGATTACCGGATGCAGTGACCCATAACATTAGATATGGCTCGAACTTCTCTATCAACTCGTCCAATTGATGGTACACCACCACTTTTATGCGAAATAATTCTTGTCGTTTGTTTAGCAGTAAACCCGAATTCCGGTATTCCTTTATCGTCTGCTCGATTCTTTTCATCTCGATCGCCGTTTCATCTATCCTGTTGATGTCCGCTTGCAGTGTCATGGTCGCGACGTTTTCTATGAGAATATTGATCTTTTCCGACAGGATAATTTCGTCCTGCACTTGCAGCTTGTAGAATTTCTCGTATTCTCCGGCGAAACGTTTCGTAGCGTCTTCCATCTGCGCGAAAACGTCAGAGAAAACGATTGTACGAGTGAATGAGGAGTGATATATTTTATTAATATTTCTTTAATTTACGTCTGTTTTTATATAATCTACGTAAAAAACGATCAGCGACTCTCACGAGTAATCGCACTTGGCGAGAGGAACCAATGGCTTGCCACTTAGCTTCGAAATCCTGGTCGGACAGATTCCTCCAAAAGTAGTCGAGAACGTCGAATTCGCGTGTCAGTTTCAGCACAGTCTCGTCCAGCGGTTTTATCATCAGAGGTATTGTTAACACCCAATCTTGTTCCTCGAATAAATGCTCGATATCGCGAGACGGTGATCTTAATCTCGCAATAATTTGCGAATAATCAGTCAGGACGGTGTCAATTCGCGCACTCAAGCTCTCGGTGAACATGGTCAGCAATTGTGTGCTGCAATACTGTCGTTTTTGCACGAGCAGATTCTTCAGTAATTGAACATTTACACGGAAAGGCCCTATAATGATCTCATTCGGCAGTGCGTTCTCGAGGGCCGATTTCATCTTCAGGTGAAAGGATATCTCGTCTTTGACTTCCACGGTGGTGTGATCTGCATCCTTAAAATCCCTTACGAAAAATGACAAAGAGTAATAAGTGGTGTTTTTTGCATCGTTTCAACAGCAGTCGCGTTTCTCTCGCAGTCCACGAAGCTGTGTCACTCAACAGAATCTAAACTCACTTCATGTACTTGTCGACGTTCAATGTGAAAAAGTCCAAATATTGACGATACTCGTTCGCGTACGCTTTCAGTGGTATTATAGACTTTCCGTAAGCGACTCTCAAGCGATCTCGCGCCTCGCAAACTTGCTTCTCCATTAAGCCGACCGAGCTAAGAAATAAATCTTGGAGGAACTCCAGGGATGGCAACAGGAAAGAGTGAAGCTGTTTAACTTGATGACACTGACTCAAGGAATCGTCCAACAGGTTTATGATAACTTCCTGAAAATCGATAGGATAGGATCGATAAGAATGGAGTATACTGTTAATTCGTCGGTTTGTTCATTAAATGAACTGGCCCATATTCATACTTCAAACGACTGCAGATCGCTTGAGTAATAAACAGTCTCATCATTCATCAGAATATCGATGTTAAAAACAGGATGTGCTGAAGACTTGAATTGTGTATTTATGAGGTCGGTACCCCACACAAAATCCTCATTTACATTTAAAGCACATTTCGCCGGAGCTATCAACATCTCTACGTACAAGGCTATTGACTTGTATACAAGATTTCGCAACGCCGTCTGTACAACAAAAGACAAGATCACACAGAAAAAGAGAACATTTTTGTTTTGAAAATATCCTTATTTTTAACATGTAAATTTTGAAATAAAATTTTGTTGAACAAAGATAAATTACTTGCATCAATACGTATTTTATGTAATTTAAGAAATAAAAATATTTGGTATTTTCATGGTGTTCGCATGGAAGCACTCTAACACTGTTACACTTTTGCATGTATTTTGTAAAAACTGAAACGCGTCATTTTACGGAAAACTCGACTTTACCTGCATTCGAAGCACAGCGACATCCATGAACCTTTTTAATTTCATCACATCGTAAATCTCGTGATTCTTTAGCTCGGGATCGAGCCATCCGTTCTCGAGATCTCGCAGGCACATTCGAACCGATTGCGCGATCCGCTCCAACCACGATTCCTTCAGATACTTCATCACCATGCCGGTTTCCAGATTCTGTTGCGACTCAAACTCCAACAAAGACATCGATTTCCCGTAATTCGAGACGAACAGCTTCATATCTGATACGTGTATGCACTCGACGACCACGCACTGCATGGCCTCGTGCACTTCCGGCAAAACATACAGAATCGTGTGGTGGAAGTAATTCTTGGTCTTCTACGAAGGTACATTATCAATTAAAACGCTCGAATACGGACAGTAGCGGAAATTCTCCCCGCAAATACCGCAAAATCCTCCATGCCGGTGTGAACTTTGCCCACTTCAGGTACGATAACATCGTGGACGTCATTAATTTTCTCCCATGCGATGAAATTAAACGTGTCGGGTTGTTTTTCTACAAGTGACCGCCACATCAGATTGCACATAACTCGACGGTACTCCAACGTGATTTCTTCCATCAGCTAAATACCACGTTAAAGGATCATTAAGCAAACAAATTAAATATAATAAGCGATTGTGCACCTACGCTTGAGAGATGGTCGGGCACACGTTCAATGGAAACTTGTTGAGAAACCAAGAGGATTATTCGACCTTTCTGTCGCTCTTCGTCGAACGCCGGCATGCAGTCTATCCGCATGCAGTCCAAGTAAAAATGATATCTACGTACATTCTTGTTTATTCTCTCAGCAAACACGACGACGACGTCGACTACACATCAATGTTATAACTCCCCATTCAACAATGTAACTGTTGTACAACATTCGCGTTACATTGTATTTAGGATGTCGAGTAAGAAGTTATAACATTGATATTATGTTACTGTGGCAGTTGGTGTTTATACTGGGATTAATGATGGTTTTCTCAGATACTTCAAAGTTTTTATAGTTAATGCGATATTGCGTAAATTAACCTAATTGCAGCTTCGGCTATCTGCCTTCGTTTAACGGCATTTGCTACTCTCTGGACGAATTTTCTGGGATCTTCTCCGTGGAATCTAATGTATATCCTGGGTAGGAGGAATTTTCGCTTGAGACCGTCCAACGTGAGAACAGTCCAGACTTTCTCCTCGCTGTTGTAGTCCATCACGGCAGCCTGAGTCCAGCCAAACAGATCATTCAGCGTTTTATCATTTCGATCAAACATTCTGTTCTTTTGTATGGCTTTTTCAACAAATATCGTGGCCGGTAATGGATAACGAACACCGTCAACGATACCGAGATTTATCCACTCTTCCACTGTTCTGAAAGTCGCGAAATATTGCAAAGCGCGTATCAACTATGGCGAACATGATAATTAATAACATGATAATTAATACTCGCCATGTCCACACGAGGTACAAAATATATAAATTAATTTATTGTAAACCTTTGCAATTAATTAATCGTAAACATTCGTAAGAGATATTCTTCTTCTCTAAAATCTAACTCCCCGGGAAAAAAGCTTATATGTGAATTTTGTCCATATATGGTTATATGTGATCATATATAATTATATATGTCCACATTAAAAAGTTGTGAAGATACAATTGAAATAAATGTTTATTTACAACGTATTCCTCACCTACAATCGTATTCTTCGTCGTCAAACACTTCCAATGGCAAATAACTCGCTTTGGAGTATAAGTCGTATTTTTCCTGGTAAGAGAGCAAGGACTGACTTTTTTCGGGTGGTAACATGTCGGACGGTTTGATACCTTTCGCTTCTAAAGCATCTTCTATTTTTAAATTCTTATACGCTCTTCGTCTTCTCTCCATTTCGACGTTACGCGGCAGCAACTTTGGCTGAACGTCGTATTTCATTTGCACCTTCGGTAAAAAAACTTCCGCTGGAAAGATCTACAAAAAAGAAAAAAAGATAAATATATTACCCCTTTTCGCCCGTCTTTCAAGAATTTAAAGTTTAATCTTTACAATCTAGGGAGCTACTGTAGCGACGCAGGAGCAAATTTCTGAAATACAAATACAATTTTTCTTCTTATCATTATTATCAAACTTTGTCATACAAATTGGTAAAAAAAACTTAAAAAATAACTAAAATTTTTTCAATAAAAATAAAAAAATAAATATACAAATATATTCATACGTCACAAAAATTTTTAATGTCTTACTAATAATATATTTTGAAATTTATGCAAATATATATAAATAAATATATTAGCACGACGATGGTAACATGTTTTTTATTAATCTATTATTTGACGTATGTGAAAAAGTTCAAAGTCTGTAAAAGTCACCTAAAGAACAGCCCGGACTGTAAGGATTAATTAAAATTGTCTACGTATCATTATTCCTGCACAATTCTGTGTTTACGTACGATTGATTTATCTTCAGGAAAACTTATCCATCTTTTGGCAGCGCCTAAATAAGTATGTGTCTTTTGTATTTTAATTTCTTTTACGATCGGACAATGCCATTTCGTGAAAATTTGCGACGCCAGCTTGACTCGTCTCGGGACAGTTGATGGAAGGATAACTTTATCTTTGTCTGCGTGTAATTTACGGGGTTATTTATTATAATTAATCATTGTTTCGTTCTCTCTTTCTTTCTCTCTGTCTTATTAACGCGACTCATTCATAATATTTCCCGAGTACTAACCTTTCTTACGAGAATGGACATCCAATTCGATATTTCCAACATCCATTTCGAATGTTTTGAAAATATTCTATATTCTTTTTTCAAAGAGAAGCATGAGAGCGACCATCAGCCTGATTTTAATAGCCAGAGCTAGGCGCATTTTCGAGACGCCATCTAACAAAGTGCGCCTTTACTATGTTCGTTAGGCATATTTTATTCTGGGATATTATTTTACAGGTTTCTGAAGTAATTTTCGCGTTTGCAAAGATGTATTTTCGAAAATTGGATAAAGTTTGACTATTTCGCTCTGCATCTTCTCCCGGATCACAATGTGCGTCAATGTGACTTTCTCTATTCCTTCAATAATACGCCAAGTATCTTGAAAATAATTTTCCAATATCCCAAAGTCGTGTTCATAACGCTGAATCCAACTAGCGTCGTAGGAATTTCGGATTCTCGAGTATGGGCTGAAAGTCGGTCATATTACTACATGTTATTTAGGTCATATATTGTAAGCATTTAGAGCATATTCTCGGATATTTTTTTACAGTTTTTTAATATAATTTTCGCGTTTGCAAAGGTATATTTTTGAAAATGACGTAACGTGTGCCTATTTTGTTCTGCATCGTTTCTTGGATGACAATGTGTGTTAATGTCACTCTACTCCCTCAGTAATACGCTCAGAGTGTTGAAAATAATTTTCCAATATCCCAAAGTTGCGTTCTTAACGTTGGATCCACTATATCTCACTATATCTCATCAAATTTTCCCGCTAAACTATTTAACCGAGATTCAAACCGAGTTGTTTGGTCTCCTGTATTATTCGTATTATTGTAAATTACATAACTAAAAAGCCGCCGCCAACTTAAAGTAAATTAATCGTATTAATAAAGCGCGGGATATTTAAACAACCATATTGCACATAAGAGAAGTAAAGCTACTTATACAATTTAGTTACTTTTTTTAAATAAGATTTTACTTTTTTTTAACAAGATATATCATTTATAGGATTGCAAATGTACATTATTTTCGCATATCACGAAATAGACAAGAATATATACTATTTTTATGAGTGGCCAATTTCGTTTTTGCAGCTTATGATAATGATAAAGTGCTCATAACTATTAAAAAGATGGAAAATAATTTAACAAATAGACATGTATAGATACAACAAATATTTTTATTACGTTAGATAGTGTGACTCATACTTTTACTATAATTTATTAATTTCTTCATCGCTCAGTTACGCTATGTTTGTGCTGGGAGTGAGAACTTACAATTTTATAAAGAGCAAAATCAAGCGATGTCAACACGATACGTAATGTACACAGTATAACAGTTTCTTTAGCCAATGTTGTCTACAATAAGCGATTAAAAATTCTTGATGTGTAGCTCGTATTATAACATCTAAAACGAAGAAATCATAAAGAATTATGCGCGAATAATTCTTGCAAATTTTATTTAGACAGGCTTTTGAAAAGAAATATGTCCCATTCGATATGTGTCATATAAGTGTAATGCAAATAAATATTAGTCATAAAAACAGTTTAAAATTCAAAGAGCCATTTAAAAAAAGACAGCTTGTATTTTAGCTTGCTTGATTAGTCAGTATTTTGTTGACGGGAAAAACCCACATTTATGTGAATCTTGGCTGCAAGAATTCTTCTCTTTCATATTTCTTTACATTTTACTCGTTCCTAATGTTACATAATGTTACAATTCAAAATTATTAATATAACTTATCGGAGAATCTTAATATCAATCGCAGTGTTATAATTAGATTTATTTTTAGTTTTATATTTTATAATTATTAACACACCACTTCTATCTATTTCAGTTTTTCATATCCATATTAAAAAATTTGTTTTACGAAAGTCGGATATTTATCCTCTTATTTCTTCTAAGGATAATATCATATGTTAATTAGTCATAACAATCCTTACAATTAATTAGAAAGAATATTTCATCTATAAAAATTTATATGTTACTTCTGACCTAGTCTTTTTTTGTTTTGTCTTTATAATTATCTGGTTAAAAGATTTACGAATATAAATTATATCGATTACAATTGTCTTATTATTATGATTGTATAATGACAACAAAGGATGAAAATACCATATTAAATTTAGTTGAATGTCATTATATCTTTTACACCTTGCTACCTACTTATAAAACATAAGATAAAATATAGATTTTGTATAAATATGTAAGTCTTGAAAGAATGTTGTTTTTTTTCTTTCTTTTTTAATCTAATAGGTTCTCTTAATGAGATGAAGTATATTCTAAATATAGATAAAAAGATGTCAATATTTAGATATAAACACATAAGTAACAAAGTCTTTGTTTAATTATAATATAACTAGTTGTTTAGTCAAGATATTTAATGTTGAATATTACAATCATGATTAGTCATACAAAAGAATAGTTCCTAATGAAATTTTCGTTAAGATAAAATCAACTTGAAAATTACTCAAGCATTCAAAGCTGCGAGAAAACACTTGAAGACAAATGTTATATCTCACATGTAACTACGTAAGTGTTTTGAAATGTAATATATGAATTTCATACATCTTATATATAACCACTGGTTTTTTATCATTTTAATATTCACGCTTTACATAACTTATTATATAACATTCTTGTATTCTAAAATCGTGATAGTATTAAGTTTAGAAAAAAGCTCAATATTCTATGCGTATGTTGGGCAAAATATATTCACTAATAACGAATGAAGACTTTAAACATATATTTGTAAATGTATTAGCGCTCGTAAAATGTGTAAAATATATCCTAATACATTTACAAATGTATACTCAAAATTACTCCACAAGTGACTCACGAATATACGTTTTACTCAACATTACTTTACGTATAACCATCTCCATTTTAATTTAGTCTGTTCATTTTAGTTACATCTCTTCTAATATTTTTTGTATGTAAAGTAAAATGAATTTACACATGTTAGGATATTGCACAGAAAACAGGGAATAGAAGAGAGAAAAATAACCAAGAAACTGCAATTGCGGAAGATGCAAGTAAAGTAAACAGACTTGATTTCATTAGCGTTTTCTTCCTCTCTTTCTCTGTCTCCCTCTCTCTTACCTCGATTCACTACATTTAAGACTTTAGAAGATAAAGCAGCTTTACCATGAATAATCGTTCATTACTGTTGTCTCAAGTTTCGCAATCTAATGCGTCATTTCGTGCAAATTATCAACGTCACGCTGCTCTGTATAAAGTTACACTCGCGATATGTTGGTTTGCCATAACTTCGACGATTGCATCCCGTATACCGTAACAAAATGTGCAACCAAATGGGTTGGTTGTGTTTGTCGAAGATGCACGATTCAACACCACAGGACGTGCACTTGCCTTCAGTTGCTCGCTCACTCTATCCCATTTTGTATAGGCAGTGATCTATAAAATTAAATTATGTTCTCGTTAATAATGGAAAATATGATGTATAATATTATCATTATTATATGATATATAATATCATATAATAAGAGTTATTAAAAAAATCATCTCACTGTAACAGGAGACGGAGAAACATCGATCAGTTTTCCCGATTCCGTAGAATTATTCTCAGGAGGCAAAGTTAAAGAAAATTCGCAACGATGATACATGTTAAAATTGTAATGACCCGGATAATTTGTGTGAAGTACAAACTTTTTTACACATTGAGTTTTGGCATTGAATAAAACATCCTGCGAAGTATGGCAAATATAAAAAATAGGAAATATAGAAGAGAGAGAATAATATATAAGAATGCAAATATATAATACTCACCAAACCTAGAGTAAAATAATTATAGAAGAAGTCTGAACGTCTTATTTTGTCACGCTTGTGCGCGTGTGGACTATGAATACGCATTTTATCCTCGGCTTTATAGAATACTCTAGATGGGGCACCAAGTGCACTTAAAACATCTTCACAGGTGTCACCGAATAATACCTGAGATAATAAAACATAATCTCAATCAATCACACAAATCCTGAACTAAACATCTAAACATGTCTAAATATTTTCAAATATTGTGATGTTAAATTTATATTTATTCTAGCATATGATCTAATTCCCGTTTCTACTAGCTTTGGTTAACTTAACCGGATAGTTGTCCCAACAAAATTGACCAATCGTATTTGTCAATTTTGATTAATGAGAAATTGCGCGAAATGGTCAGTTCCGTTGAAATAATTAGCTGGTTAAGTCAAACAAAGTTAGTAGAACCGGGCATAATTGCGAAACGTAACCTCTTTGATTAAACATCGTTTCTTCGGTTCCAACAGTACTCTCGTTCCGGAACTACCTTCTGTGAAAAGATGCAATCTGAGCCCTCTGGTGCGTGTTTTGTCTCTAATGATATCAGCTTTTTCTAAGTACAAATTGTTATGATAACAGACCTGTTAAAAGACGAATGTGTTAGCGACATATTATCTTTTCGTTAATCTTATTTCGAGAAATTATGCAAAGGTGGCCAATGCTGAGAGCATAATTACGAGTGGTAGAGGTGGCGGCGGTGCTTTTGAGCCGTGTTCTTCGCTACTACCGGCTGGCATATTTCCAATGTAAATCGCCGTTTTTGCAACTAGAGGAGAAGTTCCGTTGGGGAACTGCAACGAGCCTAAACCATGAGCATAACCGGGCTGGAACTTTGAGTCGATTGGAAAGTAAAATGACAGTCCTCGGAAGTTCAGTACAAACACCTACAAATTATTACAGCTGTTACTGTATGCTATGCATATCACACAAATACTTACTTTATTTTATCATTTACTTCCATTGAATAGTCCATTTTGCAATATCGCACACCTCTGTGGCCAAATGCTAAGAATAATTTCATACCTGCTTTTCACTGTCATAAACACCAGGATGGGTGGCTCCAAAAGAATGCTCTATCTGTTCGATCGAAGGTAACACTTCTGGGGAATTGAACGGCAAGCCGCAGTACTTCAATTTCACCAACTTCATATTGTAAATTTCAATTATCTTAAGTCTTTGTACAATGGGATCGAATATAAGTCGAATTCCATCGTGAGGTAAATTTATCACTAGATCTACATCTAATGGGTTCTGCAAATGTTTCATTTAATGCTTAATATATCACTTTGTTAATTGTTTGGCTATATATTTAGAATATTCTTGATATATACCTTTCAATATACAATATTTGGTATATATTTAGAAACAATATTTTCATATCATACAAAGATAATAAATATACTTACACTGTCGCTATAAAGTACTTGCACTCCTCTTATAACGCCAACTTGAGATTGTATTATTGATACTGACTGAGAAAAATGCATACCTGCGACAAAAGTATATAGTTAGTACTTAAGTTGGTAGATAAGTTAGCATTTATAAGTACTTAAATGTGACAGGTGACAACCTAAATAGTACAAAACATTCTGAGATAATCTTGGATTCCCTAAGATTCTATCTAGGACATCCCGGATACACTCTGGATGATTGCAGAATATTTTGTGCTATCTGTGGTAAGTGTTGTTTTGCTGCCTCTCTCTATGTTGTATTGCTCTTGACATCTATAGCTATACTTTTCTCATTTCATTTCTTATATTGATAGCACAAACATCTGTACATGTTGATTATACATGTCACAACATATAACATATTTATTGTTTACTCACGTATATGCCAGTGTCATAAGAGTGGAATATTAAAAATACATAAAAGGATTGTTATATCGCATTACATCGTGTTGACAAATTCTCAAAGGATGAAAAACAAATAAATAACAATATGATATTGTTCGTTGACGACCGCAATGTACAAATAGACAAACAAGTCGAAAGTAGGGGTCGGACGAGTTATAGTGCGTAGCTAGGCACGGTCATAGTGATGTCGCAAGATAGCGATCAGCTGTTCCATTTAATCGTACGACTCGATGTGGTGTCGAATAAAATTTGACGCGAATGCAATTTAATGCGCGTCACGCGAAGATCATAACAATAACACATGCTCTCTCTCCGATTCGTCACTTGCCTAAAATAAATTCCCACTGCTCGCATCCAAGAGACCTTTCGGGCACCACCTCGAGCTCCAACATCTTATCTCTTCTCTCGTACTGCCTCGTTCGGAACAACGGAACTGTACGCCACGCGCGAAGTGGTTCGAATTGTCATGAGAATTGCTTTCACTTCGTCACGAGAATCGCGCTGCTCCTTTGTCTATTGACGTATCACTCGATTATTAATCACCAGATAGCCATGTTGCGGTTGTATTCCAAACAATAAACCTCTTCCTCTGTTTTGGCGCTTCTATGGTTCCTACAGCCTCTACGATTGGCGAACTGTCACTGAACAGCTGATACATACCGCGGAATATGAGACACAAAGAAGGGCTTTTTGCAAAAGAATCTATGCTGTTACCTTTATGAACTTTAGGAGCACATAGTTGTGTACTTTCTACACTTTTTTATCAAATTCTTTTGTACGTAGAATAATTGCGACGAATCGATCGACGCAAAAGCAGCTTCGTATCATGAAAAAAGTCATGAAAAAATTGTGTATCATATGTGAGAATATATCAAATGATATGCGTGTTCTGCACGGATGATAACTGCACATAAGTCAAACGTCCACTGATTGATACCGGAGTGGCTATAAACGGTCGGTAATATCGGTGCTCTGCAATTATCTCGAGCTACGCTCGATGATAGGATAGCTCGGATCTTTAATAGGAGATTGCGTCAGTAATTTCGCAAATGTAATATTATTTGATTTATACGTACGTGCCATTCTATAACTTGCGACATCAATTTCAATCTTCCTCTCCTGTCAAATATTAATTTTAATTATATGTTCTTCTCTGACAATCGAGACAATCGAGACAATCGAGAGATAATCGAGACAATCGAGACAATTGATCGTTGCTTAACGAAAATTTGAAAATGTATGGCAGACAGTTCCCGTATACTTGTATGTGTATGGTGAAGAAAAGATCTGTCGTGCGAGTCAAGCTCCTAAAGATCGAGCAAAGAGAAAAACAAGTCTCCCTCTCTCTCTCTCTCTCTCTCTCTCGCTCTCATTCGCGCGATCGTTTAACTGACGAAATAAATAAAAGACGTTGCAATTATTCCCCTGCAATATCACGGATCGAGATGATGTTTCGTAATATTCAATTCAAAAATAGAGCACGGGTCTCCGGAGATCGCCCCTCTTTATTACGAAGCGCGGAGGTTAAAGACCATGATAATGCCGCTCCGCAATTGCTCAACTCGTCGCAGGGGGCTTCTTCTTTATTGTAAATACGTTAGGCAATGAGGCTGGCGAATACGTATCAGACGTTATAAATGTTTTCGCTTTGCTAAATAAGCGTTTCATGATAAAGGAAGAGAAAAAAGAATACATATCGTATTCAAATGATTAGGAAATCATAACTATTTGCAGTAAAGAAAAAAAGTAAAAAAACTTTTCTTAAACCATCTCACGTTCTCACTACACGTGGTAATTTACATAGTTATCTGAAGGTGGTAAAAATATCAGCGAGTAGAAGGAGAAGTGGTATGAGGTGGCGTGTTCGTTACGTTCCTATCTTTGGCCCGTATTAACTGTTTCACGTATTATTCCATCTACATAGACTATAAACGCGTGCCTCTCTCGCCTAAACTTCCTATAATTTCTGTCTCCTCAATATAAAATAAATGTGATAAGAAAAGAGAGAAAAGTATAATAATCACTTCTTCCCCTTTCATATTCATGGTATAATAATTATTTCTTTCTTTTACAATAATATGTATAATTTTCATACATTATTCCGTCTATCTAAACTTCCAAACTCTAAATACTTGCCTATTTCGCACGATCTTTCTACAATTTCTATGCTTTTAACGTAAAACAAATGTGATAAGATAAGAAAGTGCATCTGATACTTATAAGACATTAAAATAATTATTATAATATTAATTAAAATAATTATTTCATCCGTTTACGTTTAGTTATAATTCTCATGTAGGTTATTTTCCATGACATTTCTTATGAGAAAGAAACGTTAGCGCAAAGGCGAAAATAATAAAATGTTATTCTCTTTCTCTCCCCTCCTTTCCTCTCCTTTCCCCCTCTCTTTTCTTATGAAATCAGTATCGATATATACATCATGCCAAGTCGAGCCTTCTCTTATGCAATATCTCCGATAAGCAAGTCGTAGGCCATACGGGCGAGCCTCCAGATACGTCAGGCCACTTGTGCATGTGTTTGTGCGTGTGTCTGTTAAGCATGATTTCGCCACTCGCGAGTCTGCGATTCGGCAGCGTAGACGCGCGAGAGTAGAATATTATTAATGTAACGACGTACATCAGAATTCTAAAACTTCCAGCGATATCAAAAAATCATCTGACGGCTATGTAAATGCGACCAACAAGGATGGAATAGTACCCGCCAGATTACGAGTGAATACACGCGTAATATAATTATGTTCTATACGCGACATAAAAGCCACCATTTCCTTATATATCCTGCGCATATGTTGGCGAAATAAATTATTATCTCTGATAATTGTTAAGAGAAAAATAATTGCAGCAATTCGCATAATGGGGTCTATTGTATTGGAGGAATGGCGACGCGTGTAATAACTATATTACTACTACAACGTAACTAGCAGAGTCTCGTTTGCGAATATTTATTAACGCTGAATAGTCTCGGTCTGCTACATTCCGCGAATCTTGTAAGAATATCGGTGATTTTTTATGAATTCAATAGACTATTTAAGTTGAGTTGACCGTGGAGCCGTCACTGCCGGGCGCCGCTTCGTCGACGATGTATATACTTGTACGGGGATCCGCTCCTGACTTTAGTCCGTAGTCCACCTACTGTCTGGACGTGATAATAATATAAATCCGATATTTTCTGCGATAACGACGAAAGGACAAAGTCGCATTCATTAAAAAAAAAAGAAAAATGCAACAAAATGTGCTTATTTATGATCCACGAGCTATCGTTCATGTTCTTTTAATTCTTCCATTATGCGTATACGCGTTCCGTTGTGTTTCCTCGGACATGTACAATAAAGACGCGCAGCAATTCCAAATACTATTGCATCATTTACTCCGTTTACTTCAGTCATATACAAGAAGCGATTGTTAATAATCGCTTAATTAGTTTCGCTGCGCCATATCGGTGTGCTCCCTGTTACACATGAGATAGCATTCAGAGCTCTCAAATAGATAATGTTTTATTACGCTATGATTAGTCCTATTTAGGTTTTTGCAGCCTCGCTAAAAATGTATTCAGAAGATACGCGTCACCTTGGAAAAAATGTCACTTCCGGTGGGATGGAATAAAATTGGCTCCCGAGGATCTAAGGAGGGAAGATCGTCGCTCAATCGAACTGAACAACGCCGGTATTATCCGGTATTACAGAGAGGGGACGATTTAACATCTTCTTCTTTTTGAGTATTCATAATCTTACGGTCGTGAAACACTCGGGAGAACCGGAATAACAGTTATTTTTAGAGTTCCTGTATAACCTGCTATAACCTGTAACCGATATTAATGTTATGCGTCGCATTTATTTCGTGCGTACGAGTTTAATTAACGACCGCGTAGCGATTACAATTTATTTCCAGATGTTTGCTCGATAATACTATTTCCAGCGGTGAGATATGTCCGCTCGCGTGGCTTCCCAATCATTCAATTTGTGGAATTAATTTCTTCCTCTGAATTCTTCCACGGGTACGAACTTTATGATGTGTGTTAAAATGCGGAATTGCATACTTAAACTCGTGACAAGACGCAAAACGGTAATTGAAAACGATAAAGCGCTTTACGCTCCATCTGGTCCTGATTGAATATTCTTTTTGCATCTTACTCTATGCTCTTATTAATACATAAATTTTAAATGTGTTGATATATATATATATATATAAAAGAGTAGCTCTTTCTTATCATTACAAGATAAAAGTAACGGGACCACGTGATATTTTCGTAAAAAATGATCTTTGTTTCTTCTTTTAAAAAGATAAAGAGAATGTAACTCTGTTTATATATATATATATATATATATATATATATATATATATATATATATATTTATATATATATATATATTTATATATATATATATATATATATATATATATATAAACAGAGTTACATTCTCTTTATCTTTTTAAAGAAGAAACAAAGATCATTTTTTACGAAAATATCACGTGGTCCCGTTACTTTTATCTTGTAATGATAAGAAAGAGCTACTCTTTTTTATCTTTTATATATATTTGCGTACACATATATGCATATGTATAAATATATACGCACATATACATACATATATATATTTTCAAGTTTATATATTGAAATGTGCCTACATTACCTGCGTAGGTGTTTAGATATTGCGAGACGGTCGGGAAGTTCGTGCGTGTATCGCGAACGCGTAAACGCGACTCCGAGTGACAATGATATGATTTACCCGGTGCTATATAATTCTCTCTCTTCCCCTCGCCGCGTATCGCCTAGTCGGAAACAAGATTAAATAAAATTCTCCTATGGCTGTTTATCACTTATCACTGTTTTGTATGGAATGTCGAGTAGGCCAGTGGCCGAATAAAAGACAGGATCCCTTTCGTCGGAGCCCATAATTGCGTGAATTGCGGGCCACGGATAGTAGTCTTACCCGTTTGTCGCCAGTGGGTGTGTAAGTAAGTCGTGTGCGCGGCTGCGGTGCGTGCGTATGGGCGCGTTTGCGTGTGCGTGAGGTAGATAGCGGAAAGTCAGAAAGTCGGTAAGCGAGACACACAGTCCCGCGAAAATAGAACAGCGAGAGTGTTTAACGGCTTTCGGTATAAAATCAGCGTCTGAGCGTTGATTTCGACTTAATACGAAAGCGGGTTTAATCGTTTTCGCCCGCCAACATCCGTGACTTTTGCTTTCCCGAGGTGGACAACAATCTCAACAAATGCGCCCACGTACGCGCGCGCACACACACACACACACGCACATACGCATGCACGTGTATAGCGGCTTCTTTGTCATTTAATAGTTCGATATTGCAAACCCGTTTCGCTCCGAACAACCGGAGTCCGTCCGGCAATTTTTCTCGCTTTCCTCGCCTCGCAACCCGAGGCGGCCGCCCGCTCGTGACGTAAAAGGTGCTACGCGCCTCTCTCGCGCGCGCGCGTCATTTGGTTTTCAACTATCTCTTTATCGAGACCAGTCCGAATTCCGAACGACGAGAGAACGCGGGCGAGAGTGAGCGTGGAGCTGCTCATAGGAAAGCGACAGCTATTCGGAAGTGCAATCGGCTCCGCCACGTAAACCACGGCTCGGCCGCCTGTTGCTCGCGGGTCCGCGTGAATCGTACATTCCGTCGTTAATCGTGTGACCGGGACGACACCGCGGACTCGCGCTCCCCACTATCTTATCGCGGTGGTCCAACGGTGACACTCATCAACCAATCAGACCGGAGAATCACTGAGGCTCGACCGCACACAATATATTCGGATATCGCATATAAAGAAGCCTTTCCGACGAATACGACGAGTATGCCGCCCAAACTCCACACTATCAGCTGGCAGGACTTGACGCGAATTTCGCGGCAGTTCGACGGAAGCAGGAACTTCTTCGTTCGTTCTGGCTTCAGAGACAGCATTCTCGAACGGACGAATTTCAACTGGACTCATGCTACGAAGATCAACAGCCGTTCCATACACCTGTTAACACCGTCCGCTTTCAGAAACGAAAGACTTCGCAAGATGCCACACGCCGTCGAGACTTATCGTCAGTCCCCGTAAGTACTCGTCCACCACATTTTCGCCCTAAGAATAGCATAAGAACAGCTTGTTATATTACTGATTGATTGACACAATTCATAGGGAAATGAAAGCTCGAAGTAAGCGAGCTTTGAACAGAGTTGTTTCAGCGCTACCATTTTCCGCCTCTATTTTCAAAATATAAGGAGAAGAAACGGTGCTCTCTTTCTCTCTCTGCATTTCTTGGAGTGGCGTTTTACTCCGAAGAATATAGAGCGATCATCGAATCATTCGAATTCGAGCGGCTTTTCAATCATACGGAATGAATTCTCCGCTCTGAATCATCGAGTGAATATTTTTTTCACTTGAAATTGAAGAGTGTACAAATGATGTACTTCACTGTTATAGAAACGCATTCACTTTAATCGATTGAAACGACTCACTCATGTGCAGTTAGAATTCATTCAAGGCTTGAATGAAGCATTCGCTCTTGCGATCTCGAGTGGTAGTATCTTATTGCTCCGAGTGAAAATACTGCCACTTTTCGCTTGTTTGGAGCGAGACTTCACTCTAAGAAATTTTGACAGCCTTTACATTTAATAAATAATGAATTCTTCGCTCCCAATCGTTTGGACTTTCTTCAATGATAAATAACCATTTGAAACGTAAAAATGTCACAAACATCAATTATTTGACGTCGATACACCACAGTCTCTATTCATTTGCCTGTCGTGTGCGTTCACAAGTGTTTTTTACGTTTCAAATTGATATTCATCGTCGAAGAGGTTTTAAACGATCGGCACCGATCTTCTACACTGTATATTTGCATATCGTCCTAACAATAGCATTGACTCTTACTTTCGTTTTGATCGTATATCATGAGAGTCTTTTTTTTATGCATTTAAAAAGCCAACACAAGGCAAGCGCGCGAATACGCGCGGTGAGCGCTTCAAATAAACGCTTTATCTAAGAGAGACTAGAGTAGGCTCTCGAATAGACAATCAGTCCGATGCAAAGAGGCCAATAAGAGCCTGAATCGCAGGTGTTTGTAGAACGCAATTATAAGTAGCGAATGTGAAAGCGTCCGCGCTGCATAAATAAAAAGTTACGCGAAGAATAAAGTGGCGTGTATAAGCGTCCCACTTCTATCGCATTATCTAGCGACGGGAGATTCCCCGAGCGATCCGCAGTCGAATTTTCCTCCAGCGGAGGAGTCGAAAGGAGGGGCGAGAGGGAGATCATCGCTTATCGTGACTTTCCAGTTTTTAACATCACGTATCTGTATGACTAAACTATGACCCGGTCGTGAAATCTCATCTCGAAGCGAAGTCCACCTGAAATCCTCCGCGTGACGTTAAGTGGGACACAGCTAAAAATTGTAATCAATAAGCGAGGTGTTGCGAAATCGAGTAGAAACAAAGGAGTCGCGATAAATGAAAGGAGACATCACGCTGCTAATGAGTACCGCTAATGTTTTACGTCCTGGTTTAGAATCGAGTTTCCCTGACGCAACGATGTCACATTTTGCAGCACGCGGAAAGCAAAATTTTCGTTTCGCAAGGTTCCGATGACCATGAGCCAAGAGTGCTATTTATGCTCGAGCGATAGTGCCATAAACAGGCGGTGGGCTCGCCTGAGAGTCATTAACTATTGGCTCACAGCAAAAGTAAAAGTAAAGTTCAATGCAAATTATGGAACCAAGCAAAATTTGCTCTACTCTTTTCTTTCGCATAGCGTAGTACAGCCAAAATCAAAATACGATCTCATCTTCAGTGAAATTTTCTTATACATCAATCCTTCTGAAACTAAAAGTGAAATATTGCAAGCGCAATATCATCTCATTTCATTAGAGGAGGAATGCTCTTTCGGTAAAAATTTTCGTTTGGAATATGAGACTGCGGAAAATACCTTACAATTAGAGTTGCTTTTTCTTTCTTTATTAGGAAATTATATTTTTTTCGGTTGTATTAAAAATATCTGATGAAGAATTGGAAATTGAAGAATACGTCACATACAAATACGCCATTATAAGGATCGTGAGGATAGGATTTAATAAACGGGGAACTGCTATGCTTTTTTCCAGAATCCCGAAATTTCTGGTAACCCACGCGGCGAAAAATCCGTCGATCAAATACGATTACGATTATGTTGGCAAAATCCCGCTATTGAATGCATCGACGATAGAGATTTCGGCGAAACTTCGCCACTACATTGAGGAGTGCGCTTCGCTATGCTGTCCCAAGGATATTTACATTTGCAACGGTACGGAAGCGGAATACATGCAGCTACTGAAGATCCTCCAGAAAAACGACACTATCGAAAGTTTACCGAAATACGAAAACTGGTAAGTCTTGTATTTGCCATTCCCCGGCTTCGCTTGATTCCAACCTTTATATCGTGCGACTATTAATTTACAACATCGAATTTCTCAATATGCAACAGCTGGCTGGCTAAAACAAACCCCGCGGATGTCGCGCGTGTCGAGAAACGTACGTTTATCAGTACAGACGTAAAGAATGACACAATCCCTACACCGCGTAAAGGCATAATCGGAGAGCTCGGCAACTGGATCTCCCCGAACGACATGGACGAGGCTATCATGGAACGTTTTCCGGGTTGTATGAAAGGTTAATAGAATTTCCCTCGTATTTTCACGACTCATTAACTCTCTTACTCTCTTCCTCTCTCAACGATAATTGATTTTTCTTTGACCCCTACCAGGACGCACCATGTACGTGATTCCCTTCAGCATGGGGCCCGTGGGTTCCCCACTTTCAAAAATCGGCATCGAAATCACCGATTCGGCCTACGTGGTCTGCTCGATGAGGGTGATGACTAGGATGGGAGGTAAGGTGCTCGAGACTCTGGGAAACGACGACTTCGTCAAGTGTTTGCACTCGGTGGGCGTTCCGAGGCATGATTCCAAGACCATCGTGAACTACTCGTGGCCGTGCGATCCCGAGAGGACGATTATCCTTCACCGACCTGCCAAGAATGAGATCGTGTCTTATGGAAGTGGCTACGGCGGCAATTCCTTGCTAGGAAAGAAATGTTTCGCACTCCGCATTGGCTCGACGATAGCCAGGAAGGAAGGATGGCTCGCCGAACACATGCTCGTACGTATCTGATACTGTTGTTTCTTTTTTCTAATCCATTTTCGTACTATTCAATCGAATTCGATATAATCTATTTCTTTCTCACAGTATTACCGGCGCGATAGCGAGCGATATCGTGCTTATTTGTTATTAACGAGGCGGATTATCTTGTAATCGTATCGATAAAGCGACCTAGTATAATATATATATGGTGTATCATGACTACTATCATAACTAGAGATATTGCGTGGATTATTAGGGGCCAAATATCAACGTTCATCAACACTTCTCGCGAGAGCGATAATACATAAACAAGATATTGCTGTGACTTCGACCCGAGAAACGGAAATGAAATAAAGAGAACCTTGTACCTGTTCCGTGTTTCAGATATTGGGCATTACGAATCCTAAGGGCAAGAAGCGTTACATCGCCGCCGCTTTTCCGAGTGCCTGCGGCAAGACGAATTTAGCGATGATGCAGCCTACTCTGCCAGGGTACAAAATCGAATGCGTCGGTGACGACATTGCGTGGATGAGATTCGACGATAAGGGACGATTGCGCGCTATCAATCCGGAGAATGGATTTTTCGGCGTCGCACCCGGCACAAGCTCGGCGACGAATCCCAACGCCATGAAGACGATCTTCAGGAATACCATCTTCACCAACGTGGCCTCCACTAGCGACGGCGGAGTCTATTGGGAAGGAATGGAGAAAGAAGTTGGAAAACATGTCCAGGTAATGAACAAATGATGATATAATGATATGAACAATTGTTAGCGTTCAGTTTTTAGAAGATAACAATATATCATAGATTTATAGAATAGACTGTGTACTCTCATGAAGAAGTTGATGAGTTTATTCTATATGTCTGTGTAATAAATAACCGCATTGCGCTGAAACTATGACTCTCATTATTTTCTTGACTAAACAGCGACATGTGTATACATGCGTGAATACGTAATGTATTGCTTACATTTTACGATAGGTGGTAGACTGGAGAGGAAACGATTGGGTCAAAGGTTCCAAAACGCCAGCCGCGCATCCGAATTCGAGATTTTGCTCTCCAGCTAAGCAATGCCCTATAATCGATCCTGCTTGGGAAGATCCAGCCGGTGTCCCAATTGACGCTATACTATTCGGAGGCCGAAGGCCCGAGGGTGTACCTTTAGTTTATCAAGCTCGAAGCTGGCAGCATGGCGTTTTCATCGGCGCTTCAATGAGATCCGAGGCTACAGCTGCCGCTGAACACAAGGTATCGTAACATTTAATTGCGTTAAATTAAAAAAAAAAGAAATATGTGTGTGTGTGTGTGTGTGTGTGTGTGTGTGTGTGTGTGTATGTGTGTGTACGTAAAACTCAAAATCTTCAAAATCTTCAAAATCAATCTTGAAATGAAAGAGCAAGCGTTGAGAAGAATGGATTGAACTAAGTCTGACGTGCGTTGCAGGGTAAAATAATTATGCACGATCCGTTCGCGATGAGACCGTTCTTCGGCTACAACTTCGGGCATTATCTCTCGCACTGGCTAAGCATGGCGAACGCGAACAACGCCAAGTTGCCGTCGGTATTCCACGTGAACTGGTTCAGGAAAAGCAACGACGGCAAGTTCCTGTGGCCAGGATTTGGCGAAAACTCACGTGTCCTCGACTGGATTCTCCGAAGGATTGACGGCGAGGACATCGCCGCGGAGTCCGCTATCGGCATGCTACCGACGCCAGGATCTATTAATGTGGACAATCTTAAAGAGAACGTGGACATGGAGGAGCTGTTCCGACTGCCGAAAAGTTTTTGGCAGAAAGAGGTCGCAGCTTTGGAAGAATATTTTGACGCTCAGGTGGGACGAGATTTACCTGAAGCTATCGCACTGGAACTCAAACGTCTTTCTTATAACGTCAACAATCTTTAATTTTCTCGAAACTCCCGAGAACTATCGACGTTCTGATATCTCCGCTAAGAAAAATTCGAAGTATTCATATCCGAGGGTAAAGTTTCGCGGCTATCGGTGGGGTCCGGAGCGGTGGAGGGGAGATGCGGAGGCGGCTCGTAGATAAACGAAGAGCACTGACACTTCCGATTGTAATTTCTATCGCCGGTGCCTTCGTCGACTAATCACACTTGACGAAAACGACTATTGTAATTATAAATACGAATATATTGACTACCAACATGCGACAAAAAATTTTTCATATTTATCTCGTGTGACTACAAAATATAACAATGTTTCTTATACATTTTATACGTTGTTCTTACTAAAGTAAAAACTTAGCCTCCCAGTTCTTTCTGTGTGTTCTTGACTAAAAGAAGAAAATATCTAAAAAATATTTTTTTTAATGGGAGAGTACTAATAACATATTTATTGAAATCTAAATTGTTTTATTCAAATAGAATAAACAACTGCTTGCATGAAAAACTAAGGTTTTCTTAAGGTTTGAAGAAAATATACATTTTCTTATTTGAGAAATATTTTATATTAATATAAGCAAATATATGTTATTAATACCTACCGAATAAATGTCTACCCAGATAGCACAGAAGTTTCAAAAAGCTTTCAGAAATGTTTCTGAAACATTGCATCTTTCTGAGATCTTTCTGAAATCTTTCTGAAAGCTTTTTGAAACTTCTGTGCTATCTGGGTACTATTTCTTAAATATCTCTTGTCTCAGTGTGCCGATATCGACCGCTCCTTATATGGCACAGATCTTTAGGATGCATTTTGAAGACATCCTGGAGACGTCAAAAAGAAAATAGGATATTTTTCAGACGTCTCTGGGACGATGTCTTTTGGACATTCGTGCTATATTTGATTTGAATTCACGGACAGAATGTTCGACACGCGTACGCAAGTTGCAGACTATGCGATATTTGTCCTATCGGTACTTACCAATCTAGAGTTGTTGTTGTTTGACCTCTATTAGTCCAGAAAGAATTCGTCATAATTACTTCACTTCGTTCTGCACAAGTTGAAGTTGTTGTCCAGTGTTTCTCTAATGGAGGACAGTTCACTTTGGTTCACTTCTTTCAATGCAACTCAGGACTAGTGCTGCACTCGCACGACATCGGGTTAGTACTGGAATACTCTAACTGCATGCCCGACGAATCTATTATTATTTACCGACTGTTACCGATCCTCGGAGTATCAGCTAGTTACAACACTGATGTTGCGCGCGCTGGAGTCGCTCGTTTAAAGTCCTGAAATACACGAAATTCGTATATGATTCTATTCTAACGAATAGATAAATCAAGATTAAGTTCTGGCGGCAACGTTAACGGGCATTGACAGAACAGCAATGTACTCGTTTCTCGATTGATCACGATAGACTAGACAAGTTAGTAAAATGGGTATTACCGGCTTATTGCCGTTTTTAGAGAAGGCTTCTAAAAGGACTAATGTCAGCGATTTTTCTGGTGGCGTCGTTGCGATCGACACTTATTGCTGGTTACACAAAGGCGTATTTTCTTGCGCTGAGAAAGTGATGATGGGGCAAACAACGAATGCGTTAAGTAGCTTTATATTATTTATGTTGACATTTTGTGTGTATCTCTGGCATTTTGCCTTTCTTTATTTGGCCTCTTTTCTCTCTTTCTCTTTCTGTCTGAGATAGTACTGATTGATTTTCTTACTTTTATAGATATGTTTTATATTGTGCGAAATTTATAAATATGCTCTTGAAATATCATATAAAACCAATCTTAGTATTTGATGGTCGACAGCTGCCTGCTAAAGAAAAAACGGAAATTAAAAGGCGAGAGTACGTAAGAAAAACCACTACATGAATATTACAAATTTCAGTAATTATGTCTTTAAAATTATTAAAATCAGAATTAATACTATAACTTTATATAAATCATCAGGTAGATTTATATATAGCTATGTATTTATGTAGCTATATTATATCTTTTAGGTCTAGACAAATGAATCGCCGCAAAGCATTCGAGTTGATAAAAATGGGTCAGGATGCTGAAGGAAAGAATTTGTTGAAACGAGCTATAGATATTACTCATGAAATGGCATTAGAATTAATTAAGTATTGCCAAAGTGAGAATATTGATTGTATTGTAGCTCCTTATGAAGCTGATGCGCAATTGGCATATTTAAATATTAGCGGCATAGCTGATCTTGTTATTACAGAAGATAGTGATTTGACATTGTTTGGATGTAAAAAAGTTAGTTTTATTCCAAGAAATAATTTATTTTTATGATTTACTAATATTATAATTATATTAATTTTCAAATAAACTAAAATTATTTTATTATAGATATTCTTCAAAATGGACTTAAATGGAAATGGAGTTTTAATTGAACAAGACCGATTACACTTGGCAATGGATATGCGACCTGAACAATTCAACATGGATAAGTTTCGTTACACTTGTATTTTGTCTGGTTGCGATTATCTTCCTTCCCTTCCTGGTATTGGTTTGGGAAAGGCACGAAAATTTATCATGAAAAATACAGATTCTAATATACATAGGGTTAGTCAGCTGCCATGTTATCTTAAAAAAAATATATATATATAATAAAACGTTTGCTTGATATTAATCGACATTAATGTAATGTTAAGGCATTAATACGTGTGGGATCGGTTCTCAACATGAAATCGCTAGAAATGACCCAGGAATATAGGGACGCTTTTATATTAGCGGATATCACGTTTAAACATCAATTGGTATTTTGTCCATTACAAAGGAAACAGGTACGCTTGAATTTGCCCTCAGCTGATATTACTGAAGATCAATTACGTTATGCCGGCCAAGAATTAGATGCGGATCTTGCTTTACAACTGGCTCTTGGTAATTGCGATCCGTGCACTTTAAAAATGCTTCATGATTTTAATCCAGATAAAATTGTAAGTAGCCAGAACTGTTTAACTGTGACTGAACTATATTACTGTGCCATAATAATATATAATCTAGCTTATAAAAATAACGCTAAATCGAAATGTGAAATGTCTCTTAAACTTTATTGTACATTGTAGGAAAGAAAAAGGAAGCGAACTACGGAAATGGGACGATTAACAATGAATCATGTTAGTATTTGGTCAAGCGAATATGAGTTGAAAAATAAATCGAAAGAGAAAAGTCAGACATTATTTTTTGGAAATGCAATGAATTCGTTTATTACTACTGCAAGAAAACAGACTTCGCAAAGGGTCTCTTTGAAGGATGAGTTTGTTCCATCGAAATCGGATAATAGTTTAGCCACGTGGCGCGATAATGCTTCAGAGCATCAGAATGTAAACGAAAATATTTTAGATATCTATAATTGTCAAGATGCAAAATTAATTGCCAGTCCTGAACAAAAGCCAGAACAAACTTTGTATTTAGAAAACAATACATCACCAGAGCTATCCAGACAACGAAATCCGTTTGTTAAACGAATATCGGAACTCACGACTTCACCTAGTGTTCTATCCAGCGGAAATTATCGCCAAAGAGGAAGAAATTTAATGCGCATAAGGCGAACTATTATAAATGAGAATACTATAGTAGAAAGCAGATATTTCTCGAAGAAGGATAACGAAGAGCACGACGCAGTCAAGTTAGAGAATAGCATTGAAGACATTAACTCAGAAAGTTTAAAAAGTAATATAATTGCAGATGTGAACACTGATGTACACAATATATATAGAAGTCACGAAGAAGCAGGCTTTGCAGAAAATGCTGTCGCATCAAAAAATCTCAGTGAGGCTTTCTCCACGGATCATAATGAATCTACAACTGAGTACGAAAATGTATACGAAAAGTCATATTCTGACGATAGGATAACCGAAATATCGTCAACAATACAATGTACAAAAATTAATGATAGTTATGACTTAGATAATTTATTAGTATCGTCGAGTTCAAATGTAAAACCTGTTGATGATTTAATTAATCACGAGAACACAGGTAATTTGCAAGATTTGCGTAAATGGTCTAGTACGAAAAGTTGTAAAGTCGTTTCGCATAAAAAAATAGAAAATTCCAAAAGACAGAGCACATCAAATCTGGTAAATATATATTTATGCGAGATTAATGAGATATAGCTACTGATTAATTCACCATCAAATTTTTCTATCCTTAGACATCACCTAAGAGTAACTCTGTGATAAAACAAACACGGCAAAATAAACGGTTGGCATCAAATCTTAGCCAACAAAGTTTACTAAGTATGTACGGGTTTCAAAAAAGGTAAAAAGATTTCTTAATGTAATGCACAAGAGTGTAGTTTTGCGCTGAAAGTTTTACTGGATTTCTTCTTTCTTTTCACAGGTCGTCTCTTAAACACTGAGTTTATGATTTACATGCAGTCTTGTATGAGACTATAAATGTGGTTGTAAAAATATCGTATAGTCCATGTAAACATTCACAAGATTTAGTTTTCAGAAGTGCTTTATAGAGTATTGTGGGTAGAGCTCCAATGCTAAAGATGACTATGTGCTTTCAAGACAAGTACATTATTACTGTTTATTTAAAATAAATTGAGATCTGATATAAACATTGTGCTCAAGTGAATGCTGATGGAAAGACAATTGTATTTCTAACTATATTGCGCTTTGTTGTTATATATGTTCACTGCCAATTGTGGATTATAATAATTGCTCAAGTTTATTCTTGCCTAGTGTGGAATAAACTATCATGAAATAACAAAGTATTACAAATATCCTGATCCTAGTAGCAGAATCATAGACTACCTAATTTGAAGACAAAAATCCTAATTTATAGTATAAGAAAATACTGTACTGCCTTTCATATACTTATACATATATTTCATATACCTACATGTATTTACACATACACAACATATATATATACATATACATAGTATACATAATATTTGTACATATTTTAACAAAAATTGGGAAAAATATTTATTCTAAGGATAGATCAATCATATTTTTTATACTTATAGTTAAGTAACTATAGTTTTATTGGTAACTAAACTTTTGTACCAATTGTTTCATCCCATGGTCTCTGTATTCGGGTATTTTCCCAATTGTCAATGTCTACCTGAATAAAAAATATGATACAAACACAGAAAATAATTTCCTTTAAATTTACAAAAACTAGAGTTTTTATCTTTAGATAACCTTATAAAGTATACCTTTTGTAAGTTTTCATACTCTTTTTCTAACGTAATTTCTTCTGGTGCTTTCATCACAATTCCTGTGTCTTTTACGTCATCTTTTATATATCGAGTATTTTTATATACGTAACTGAAAAATTGATTTAACATTACGATACCAGCATAAGTAAATTTTAATCGTCGTTTTACGCGTACATTTGACACGAAAAGGTATCGTGTCTCTTGATACAATAAAAGATCACTAATGCAACGAAAGATTATTGTATCTTTATATTGCATTTATATTATTACCGTAGTTCTGCAAATTCTCGAAGGCCAAACGATCCACCAATAACAAAAATCATAAATGGTATGCCATATTTTATAGTTTTATACTTAAACATATTTTTTTTTATAAAATTCAATGTTATACGTTTTATTTGATATTAAATTCGACAGATTATACGTATAGGTTAGATGCATGTGCACAGACCGCACAGGTCTGTTCTTTTTGCATGCAGTTTCCTTATAGATTAGCTTTCAATCTATTGATCTATTCTTTTTTGGTCTGTTCTTTTGCTTTCAGCTGTACTGCTGAAAAGAACAAACCATTTAGTTGCACTGTTGAACTAATGCAATAAATTAGTTAGGTCAAAAACAGTGAAGTCACAGATCTTCTTGAAACTTGTAGTAAAATAAATTTAGGTATTAATACGTGTGTTAAATATGGGTTCGATTAACCGTATAGTTTCCGAGAAATTACCGCTTTACTATTTTTCTCGATATCTTACATGGCGCTAACGTATAAAAAGTAACACGTAAATGTGCATTTGTCAGCTGTAAATGACCTCCAATAAGGATTAATACAAAAATTTGGGCAAAATTAATTGAATACTTACATACTTCAGTCTCAGCGAAATTTACCGTACATTATTAGAGAGTATGATTAATCAGCAAAAATAAGTTTAGCTTTTGCTTTTTCGTTCGCGACCATGCTTTGCGGATGTGGCAACGTTGTATAGCTTGGCGTCGCATAGCGTTAATAGAGATGCGACGTAGCCACGATCTATAGTTCCGCGACTACAACGCAAGTCAGCATACAATTTCTTTTTCTATCATTTTATTTATTTTATCGATTTTTACTATTCTGAAAGAACCAATAATGTTTAAAAATCTGTTTTTCACTTTCACTGAAAAGAATTCATCGGTTGTTAAACCGATTATTATATATATATTAGATTTTATATATATATTAGATTTTATTTAAAATCTAATTTTGACTATACAGTTGGGAAATACCTATTTTAAAGGAAACAAATAGCGTGTTTGAGTGGCTGTAGGTTAATCGTTCCAGGAACGATTATTGACGTCACAGACGTCACAGACGTCACAGACGACGTCAATTTATATAAATTTTGTGATTGGCTAATGGAGTCTGTGATGTCAGTGATCACTCGGAGCGATTAACCCACAGGCACTTGAATATGTTAAAATATACTTTCTCTCACTCTAATTTATTTCACTAGTTCAATAGTGCAGCTAAAAGGAACAAAGTATATATCAACTGAATGCTGGAAATAGTTTATGATTTAGAGATTATAGAATTCGACGAATTAGCTACTTTCAATTTTGCTCGCTTTATTTTAATTAATCAAGTATTAATCTAAAATACTAAAATGTGCTCATTATTATTATATTTTAATTTAAACTTATTACTTTAGTTAAAGCTTTCGTCATTGACAAAAGTAGCAAATGAATACTGTCTCTAAGAGTCTGTAGAATTGCCAAGAGCAAATCTTGATTTGACATTGAAGACCTCGTGCGGTAAGAACGCGAAATACCATTCTATGTGTAGTTGTATATCCACACACATGAATACTAATCCATCGCTCGTGCGGACACAATAGATGTAAGGGCCTTTGCACGTAGAAAATTTTTAACCGTAACCGTAAGGTCGTAAGAAAACTGACCAATCAAAGTTGATTATTCTCTTTGCGTTCGAGGAATAATCGACTGTAATTAGTCAGTTTTCTTACGACTTTACGGTTACGGTTAAAATTTTTCTGCAAAGGCCCTAAGTTTATGTAGTTGGACTACACTTTACCTAGTAACCGTAATTTGACATATTTTGTCTCATAGATATTACATTGGCTTACTAACCAGTTGGTTTTATGTCTTCTTTGCGTCATTAATGTCAAGGATGGGATGGAGCCCGATTTGGGGCGATTAGGCTCTTAAAAATTTATAATAAATTAAAATATAGAGACTCGTATTGTACATCTTAGTCGAATGTTCATTCAAATAATTTAGACCGTTTTTATTTCGACCTTTTTTCCCAAAAACGCTCTGTAACACTTTTTGGATCATTATCCTGATTATAAATATTACAATTATATGATAACTTTCTCTGTAGTCAAAATTTTATAAAATACCAATATCAGTTCCGGGATAAGTTAGTTCCGTAATAAAGATCTCCGCGAGAAATTTCTATTACGGCTTTTACAGACTCTTAACAGCAAAATTAATTTGCTGACGAAAAAATCGAACATTGAATGAAAATATGATTAATTGAAAATGATTGGAAAAAATTATCAGTTATTACGATTAATCCCCATTCGTAATATAATAGTTATAAATTTTAGTATCATATTATATAACATGAAAGAATGTTGCAACATGTAGTTATATTATAATTTCGGCCTCTTTCAAAAATAAAAGTAATGTATCTTAATACATCTTAAATATATGAATTACTTCATAATTTATAAATGTTACAAATACATTATATTATCATTTTCATAATACATATGAAAACATAACTTAATCTGTTGATAATTGAATAAGATCTTATTATAATTATATCTTATCTATAATTGAGAATCTATAATTGAGAATAAGATAATATACTTTATAAAAAAGAAATTATATATATAATTATGTATTTAAGATATATCTTTTACAATGATTTTATGTATATATGTTTTTAATTTTTTAATTTCTAATAAAATATGTTTTATTTTTCACGTTATATATATATGTGTGTGTGTGTACATATAATATATGCGTGTGTGTATGTGTATATGTATATATATAAAACTGGCTTTGATAATAATTATAGAGAAATGCAGTAAAATTTCAATATTATATGTACATACACACATATATATATATATATATATATATATATATATATATATATATATAACTTGAAAAATAAAACATATTTTATTAGAAATTAAAAAATTAAAAACATATATACATAAAATCATTGTAAAAGATATATCTTAAATACATAATTATATATATAATTTCTTTTTTATAAAGTATATTATCTTATTCTCAATTATAGATTCTCAATTATAGATAAGATATAATTATAATAAGATCTTATTCAATTATCAACAGATTAAGTTATGTTTTCATATGTATTATGAAAATGATAATATAATGTATAATTAATGTAATATAACTATTATAACATGTTCGTTATATAATTTTTTATTTCTGTGTTTCACAAATATGCCCGAATTTTATATAATATACGTAACGTGAACTATAGATAAATGCACGTATATACATTTTTATAAAACATTTATACAGCAACAACTGGGTGTTTACAAAGACTGATCTGTTTCATAAAACTGCGAGACTCGTAGCATAGATACATATATAGCATAAATACATAGATACGCATAATTTCTTTCTACAAATGACAGGATATAATTTCGCTTGTGTAACGATTTATCACGAAATCCCACTCAGCTCACAAAGGTGGTATATAATGCGTTGCTTACAGCTGCTGAGCTCAAACGTAATGTGGCAGTTCAGTCAGTCGAGTGTCTCAATTCGCATGCGCTTTAACGAAGCGTGTCGTCATTGTGCTTAAATTTGTGTGCTTATGTACCAGATCTATTTCGCTACAGTAAAGTTAGTGCGAATTTATTTTTGCTATTGTGAGAGGCAAGACGCCAAATTTGTAGATCGTAGTCTGCCGGTTTATTGCGCAAAAGTAATCTGACAATTATCGACCTGATACATTTAATAATTATACTAGTAGCTGATATAAATTCTGATAAATCAGCCCAAAAAAAACGTTCATTAAGGAGAAACTGTTACGAATAGATAATATTGATTAAGACGGTCGTTATCAAACGCTGTCCAGTGATTCTAATTTAAGATACGGATAACTTCCAAAGCTGCCACGATGATGACACTGATCATAGCTATTTTGATTCTGTTACTAATTTTTATTGCATTGAACAAACGGAGAAGAGCAAATTTTCCACCAGGTAATGTATTTACTGGCAGGTTTGTTTTCGTACGAAAATATTCGGACATAATATTGCGATTGGTTATATTACATATTTATGCAGTTGTTTGAATCGTTTATAATGATCTATAAAATAAATGTTCAATATATGTAAATAATTTGTAAATGATATCGCAATACTGACTTGAGAAGATAATTAGAAAATATAACCACAGTAAACTTAGTAATAACGATTTCTAGCTACATTATTTATCTAATAATGACCAAAGCAAATAATAATTTTGTGTATGTTAACAACTCAGATAGTATAAAGAATTCAAAAAGAATTTAATTGTATGCCACTAATTTTGAGTTTAGTTTTGGATACAAAAAGAATTCTTTTTACTGAACTGAACTCTGAAGAATTCTTCTTACATCTGAAGATAAACTCAGAATTGGTGACATACCATTGAATTCTTTTCAAATACTTTTTTAATTCTTTCTATTATCTGGGAAGAGACAACATTTAACACATTTGACTTACAGTAGTATCAAATCTAGATTATAAAGAGTGAGTAATCTTGATTAAAAAGCCCGATAAGAGTATACAGATTGTTATAAATATATCAAAATTCTATCGAAACTACTGTAACTTTATACGAATTTATTATTTTTGTCGAAAATTTCAATTTCCCATATTTTTGCTTATATAAAAAAGTTATCAGTTTCTTTCGTTTTATATTGCGCGTAACTTTTAACGATGAAATATTATAAACGACTAAATATTTATCTAAATACACATGTTGTTCTATGTAATTTTAACATTTTTTTCCAAAAATATTGTTCAGTTATATAGATTTTTCTTTTCTTCTTGCCTATTCTCATTTAATTCTATCAAATCTTTTAAGCAAGAGAGGAAATTTTCTTATTTGCTTTAATTGCGAATTATATTTTGTTTTCTATGTTAACAACTTCGTTAATTAAGTTAATTGTCAATTAATATATTGACAATTATCGATTATCAACAATCAATAATTATAGGAATTTAATGATATCTACACGGAAAAAAGAGATGTGGTGCACCTAACAAAAAATATTTAGTTGTAAGCAAATAGCTGCATCATTCTACATATCTTTGTATCTTTGTAGTTATGTGTATGGTTGATTTGACTTACTTTGGTGTGTCAACTACATCAATGAAGTTGCGCGTGATCTGGTTGTAGCAACCAGAAATTAGTAAGGGGATCATTTTTCATAGACAAGCTAAATATCGATATAGTTGCATTAATAAATTGCAAATCAACAATATTAGAAAATAAAAGCAATTTACTATGCACACAGCTAGAAATGTATACATGTGAAAACTGGTTCTGAGTGTATAAATATACATTTGTAGTTGCCGCGTAATGAGCCGCGTTTGTATTAACCATGTATTATCACTGCTACAACATAAATAACCATTGTTCTTTGGTTACAGCAACCACATAAATAGTTGTTCCGTATTTTATTATTGAATCTGATTGGCACAACCAGATTTCTGTATGGATCAACCATTTTTTCCGTGTATACATACTTGTAATACTATCTATATGTACTTGTAATACTTATGATAAACAACAGCTTTACATTTCGTTTTTATTAAGTGAAAAATTCTAATTTTTAGGTCCTTTTCCCTGGCCATTTGTCGGCAATCAATCTTATTTGAAAGAATTAAGCCAAAAATTCGGTGGGCAGCATCGCGCTTTCTTAGAACTTAGTAAGCTTTATAACAGCGGCATCATATCCTTACGATTAGGCAATGATGACGTCATTGTTGTTACTGATAATGAACTTATACTAAAAGTGCTTAACAACGAAGAGTACGATGGGCGTCCCTGGAATGAATTTACGAAGATCCGGAACATGGGCATGAAAAAAGGTATTATGATCCTTCTTTCATTTATCTCGTAGTGTAAAGTATTTTATCTTGTAATGTAAAGCCTGTTTTGCATTTTCATTGCTAAAACCGAAATATATTGTCAATATCAACTTACCGATATAATTTCATACTTATTGACACCGAAAGAAATTGTATTATTTTTTCTGATCGGAAAAGAGTGTTATAAATTATGTTTTATTTTAATACTTATTTTTTAATTCTTTTTTTAAATTTTTATTATCCATTCTGTACTTATTTTGGGAAATAGAAGAATGAAAATGCAGAATAAATAGCGTTTAACATCTGCACTTTGGCTTTAGTCGTTTTCGAAATTGTATTTTTGAATAACTTATCTTATCAGTGACACGATGTTACGAAAAAATTCTTGAAATTCACGAGCGCGAATATCTTGCTCAATGAATTCACAATTCAATGAATTTATACGATAATTGTAATGAATAAAGCAACTGAAGTCTCATTTAAATCAGGAATTACAATGAATTTATACGATAATTGTAATGAATAAAGCAACTGAAGTCTCATTTAAATCAGGAATTACAATGAATTTATACGATAATTGTAATGAATAAAGCAACTGAAGTCTCATTTAAATCAGGAATTACAATGAATGACGGCTTAGAGTGGAAGGAATTGCGTCATTGGACGGTGCGGAATTTGAGGAACGTCGGCTTCGCTAAACGGAAAATGGAAGAACTACTTTTGGACGAATTGGTTATTGTTATAGATAAGCTGAAGCAACATAATGTGCTTAGAATAAAACTCGCGGTTGAAACGGCTGTAATAAATGTCCTATGGAAGCTACTTACGGGACAACAAATCTTCATCAATGCAAAGTATGTGTTGCACAATCATAAAATCATAAAATCCATAGCGGGTCGATGATTTATAGTACTTTAACTTTTCGATTTACTTTTCTATATTGTTTATATTATTTCTTTAGTGTAAATGAAATTATTCCTTATCAATCCTATATTGGTATTTGAGACGCGCTTATACAGATTAAAAGTAATCCGTAATTTTATTACATAATTTTATCCCAACGCAAAAAAATTTACAAATATGTATAAATGTGATTCTTTAGTTTCATCGATCGTCTCGTCTCACTTTTCCTTTAAAAAGTTCTCAGATGAAAAAGAAAAGAAAAACGAAAGATGAAAAGAAAATGAAAAACGTCTTAGCTATTTTAATACAGGTTCTCTTTCGGTTAAAATGTTATACGAACGAAAAGTTTACTAACCGATAAGTTGACCGATCGACCGACCGCTCCAACCGTTTTATCTGTTTATGTTTATGTCATTCTGTCTATGTTTTTTATCTGTTGTGATGTTATTTGCAGCCCGCAAGATTTCATCACATTATTAGAACGCCGTGCGAAAGCCTTTCAGTTGGGCGGTGGAGTCTTCTCCTCTTTTCCATGGCTCCGTCACATCATGCCCAAAGCTATGGGATACAATATCATCTATTCTTTAAACAAAGAGTTGAAAAGTTTGTTAATGGTAAGTTTCTTCAATTTTGCTCCACTGTGCACATAACATGAATGACGTCATTGTATCCTCAGTGTATTTGATTGGCTACATTTATTTAACAGCTTTATTTCAAAATCGTCTTTATGGCTAGGGAACAGTATATTCTCCCACATCATTTTCATTCACAATAGTTAAAGGGTAATTTCATATTGAAAAGATTACAAATTAATAGAAATTAGTAAAAATAAAGATAATTACATAAGAAAACGCACAGGACTCGACGTCATCAAATCACGTATATTAAATCGTCCAAAATGGAAGAGATGAAAAACGAAAATAAAAGATAAAATAATTTTTTAATCTTCAAACTCAATTTTCTCGCTGACTATTTGACAATACTGAAATACTTAATACTGATTTCATATTTCAGACCACCATCGAAGCGCACAAACAGCGGTACACCAAGGGAGCTGAAGAGGATTTTATCGACTTATTTCTTCGCGAGATGGTAACGAAGGAGACAAAGACGGAAGTTCCTATATTTACAGGTATATACATAGGCATTTTATCACGAAGCATATCCAGAAGGTGCAACACGAAGACTTTTTACATTTGCAATTTGTTATGTGTCAGTTTCGAATAATACATCTTGGACATTTTAAACTTTCAAACGTATCTCAAAGATTACAAATGCTCGCAATTTCACGAACGTCGTGAATATTCGCAAGGAAGTTAGCGCTTCCTCTCTCGTGATTCAATGCGCTAATGAAAGTATTGACGCGAGAGAAAGTGTCCTCACTATAAGCTGCTGTGTCTCAGCACTCTTGCGATTCACCATGTCTTTCAGACGATAATCTGCTTGTTACGCTGATCGACTTTTTCATTGCTGGTACTAACAATACAACGTCAACGTTGGATTTCCTCTTTTTCCATATGGTCAAGCACCAAGACGTGCAAGAGAAATTGCACAAAGAGATCGACAACGTGATAGGTTCAGAACGACTTCCACGTTTGGAGGATAGAATTAAGTGCGTTGTTTAAGTTATTATTTATTCGAAAGATCAAATAACCGATGTTGTTCGCAAGATAATATGTGGATAATGTCAAGTTGTGTTAAATTTAGGATTAATCTTTCAGTATGCCCTTCACGGAAGCTGTACTGACTGAATGCCAACGGATGTGGGTCGTTACGCCTATAATTGGACCGAGACGTGTCCTCGCTGATACAACTCTCGGAGGTTACACGATACGAAAGAATACAATCGTTCTAATGGATATATTTGCTAATAACATGGATTCAAAATTATATTCTGACCCGACTTCGTTCAAACCAGAAAGGTTTATTAAGAATAATGCTTATCAGTCGGACGATAACGTCATAACATTCGGCAAAGGTTAGTAAAAGATCAAAGTATCACAATTAGAGAAGATCTATAAAATGCTGCGATAATTTTCAAATGGATTAGATCATCCCAGTATCAACACAGTATAATTATTGTACAAGAGCTCTCTGTATTGTTTTTTTTTTTTTCCGGATATTCAAAACATCACCAAATGTGACACAAAATGTGTTTCACGTCGGGGAGAACGGACGGTGCTTTTCTTATTATTGGTTGCGCAGAGTTGAAAATTATAACAGACTATTGTAATTCAATTAAAATTATGCCTATCTGGTCTTCATTTTTCCAACCGATATAATTGCACATTTCTCAGTCCATGTAAAATTATTTTCCAGGGAAAAGAAGATGTCCCGGAGAAGCATTAGCAAAATCGGCCATCTTTCTACTTTTTGTTGGTGTGATGCAAAAGTATCGACTACTTCCACCACCAGATAAAGAATCTCTAGAACTAGAGATAATTTTCGGGTTGACAATCATGCCAAAGCCGTATAAAGTCTTACTTGTACCGCGATAATATTGTAAAGATATGATATATTAAATATGATATATCTGTTTTCTTTCTTATTTAATTTATAAGTTTGATCATGAAATAAAATTTTTCATCTTTTAGATATAGCTACTGGCATACAAGTTTATTCAAAATGTGCCTTTTTGTTATGTGTATGTGTGCGTAGGTGAGAGAAAACGAGAGAGAGAGAGAGAGAGAGAGAGAGAGAGAGAGAGAGAGAAGGGGAGAGTTTTGTATTTAAATTATTAATAAATAATTAATAAAATACTCTTTGTTGTTCAAATATTTATTTTCCTAAATATACTGTGCAACACAATGAGACGCGGTGCGGTAAGACGTTCGTATTTATTGAAGTTTATGAATTGTGCTACTCGATACTTCTCTATAGATTATTAATCTTTTATAATATTATTATTATAGATTATTAATCTTTTATAATATTTGCCAAATGTTAAAACGTTATCATCCGACTAATAGACGCGATTTTTAATAAACTTTTCTGATTTGAACAAAATCGGATTAGAATATAATTTTGGATACATGTTGTTAACAAATATATTTATTAAAATGAATGACATGTTTTTTCCTGTCGCATAAGAGTCGTGTTGACGAGGGCACGCCGTTGTCCAATTATACTTCGAAATGACAATTTGCGTCACTTTACGAGTTCAAGGTATTCAACCCTTTTCATGGAAGCTCATATGTATCACTACACGCTCATATGCTGTACAGATTAATTCAATCTTTTAAGTCAGATCTTATTGAGAGTTTGACGTAATACGGTTTCGGCGACATGGTGAAGCCGTCATAGGCCTTTAGATCTGGTTCTCCGTGTTCGCTCGAGATTTCCAAGTCAAAATAATGTATAATATATGTAAAAAACAGAAATACCGAGGAACGTGCTAACATCTCACCCAGACAGCGTCTTTTGCCTGAAACAATCACGAGAGACAATCATATTGTACCTACAATTATTATAGTTCCACAATTCTGATATTATTATGACTGCGTCAACTTGTAAAGTCAGTGTGCTATATTAACGTTAAAAAGTTATAATTAGAAGATTCACCGTAACAAAAGATTGAATATATGCGGCGCTATAGCCGTAATCGGACAAACTATTTCTAATTTCTCCGATCGGTAACATATCACACTACGCGTTGTAACGATAGTGTAACGATAGTAATTACGACCAGATAATTTTGCGTTGCGTTAGATTTACCTAAGCCGAAAGGAATGCTGATGTTATTCTGATGAAATTTGCCACTTTCGTCTAGAAATCGCTGAGGAAGGAATTCGTCCGGTTTTTCCCAATACGCCTTATCGTAGTGAACGCTATATAAATCAAAAAGAATAATCGTGTCCTGCAAAACGATCGTCCGTTAGCTTACGTGTGTCGTAGGATAGACTGTGGTTTAAAAGAAGAGACATCACCTTTGGTATGCAATATCCGTTTAAAGTAACATCTTTCATGGCTCTATGGGGTATACCGAGAGGCGCCAAAATGAAGTATCTATATACCTGTATTTACATTACATATACTTAACTCTCCGTCGACATGATGAGTCTTTAAAGACCCAGTCGAATGTTCTTACATAGTTTCGGATTTTGATTGTAAGTTCTAGGAATAACTGATAACTGATAATGGGGTATCATGTTCTAAAAAAAAACTTAGTGATAAAGATAGTATACGTAAGTACGTTAATATTCAATTGTTTGTCTAAACAACGTTTAGAAAATATGTTTAAATCCTTAACAAGCTACTCTATCGACCATATTTTTGAAAATTAGTAATTAGAATATTTTTGTATTTTTTTGTTTTTTACGTTAATTTTAATATAATATAAAAAATTTAGTATAATGTAATTTCATAAAATATTCGTTTTACACGAAACTGTTTGTTTTGCATACATGAAAAATAGTACTTTGGTGTTTTACTGACAAAAAAAATAAAATTGTTTTATTATTGTCAAATTAATATAAAACTGGAAAAATAATAGATAAAGATAATAGAAAACCAGAAATAGTGTTATTTTACAATTCTACCAAAGAATATAGATACTTTTGACAAATTATGTAAGACTTACTTAACTCGTAACTGAGAGATGGGCTTCACGATTATTTTTTAGTATGCTCGATTAAGCTAATGTCAATTCCATTATATTTTTTAATTTAAGGGCAACTAATTCTGCTTTAATATAAGTATTATAGTCTAAAAGAATTTTATTTTTTATTTACTCATGTAAAAATTATGAGTTTTTAACTAAAACCCCGTTTTCTTAATGTTTTCTTAATGTTCCTACTTAAATTTTTCAAAAATAAGTAAAATGCAATCAGACTTTTACAATTGTAAAAACTTGATATTAAAACTTTCAGAAACATATGAGAATTTTTCAGATTTTTATACAATTCGGAACAGTGTAAAAACATGAACTAGTCCTCAACGACCCACCTTGCCGACGGAAGATGTTAAATTACATCTTGCCGGCGGAGAATGAAAAAATTCATAACATATCATGCATATACAGAGTATTCGATTTGTTATGCAGTCGCGCCGTACTTATAGGTAGGACTTATAAAACTGAATAGAAAATTCTTCTATCATTTCGCAAACAACCACGTAAAATTTGGAATTAACAATCAAAGAAGATTGGCGAATTATCACACGCGATATGGTAGATAAGCTGTGATAACAACGTCTGCCGTCACGGCCTTATGGTCGTGATCAAACTAAACAAAAAATTCTACTATTTTGCAAATGGCGTAGGTTTTAAGTTATTAATTAAAAATAGGTAAGTTTTTAGTTATTAATTAAAAATATTGTGTGTGTGGTACTTGATAATCACGATAATATAAAAGTGAAGAGGTACTCAATCTTTTCTAAACAAAATTCTAAATATTTGTTGTTTTCTTTCTCTCGCTTTCGAAAGTTGTTACACTAAGTTTCTAAATTAAAATTAAAATTAAAATTGAAATTTGTTAGTCTAAACGAGAAATCACGCATATACGAGTTCATACATTTTTATAGGGAAAAGAAAAATAAACATAAAATAAGTATATAATTGGGGCATATTAATAAGTGCAATGCGAACCCAAGTAGCAGAGTGACGTCAGAGGACGTCTTATTGACGTCAATATGACGTTCTCTGACGTCACTCTGCTACTTGGGAATGTGCTCATTATTCTTATCATTTAACTCTTTACTTCAGCCAAGAAAGCTTCCGTCATCGGCAAAAGTGGCAAATCTTCCTCAGTAGGAGCTCTCGATCTACCAACGACGCTGTCCAATTCTGTCTGAAGCAACTTTAACCATGTTGGAGACAGCGATAGGAAAAGAAATATAGTTGCTAGAGTATCAGTGGTTGTCTTTGATCCAGCCATGAAGAGATCAAGACACAACACCAATAAACTCTCACCTGTAATACGCAAAGCATATGTCACGTTCATCCATGTACAATTTATATTAAAGTACGTAATTGCATTTTAGCATGTGGTATAAATTTTGCTTAATTTATGATAATATGATTTATGATAATGTATTTGATATTCTCTAAATTTTCTATGCAAATATATTCTTTTTAGATTCTGCAGAATTAGAATTTCAAATCAATCTATGTGGACGAGACAGCATGCTGAAATTTATGGTAAGACATGTTATATTATACTATAATGCATGTTACGTCTTGTATGTATTGCATTCGTACACATAAAAGCCAGACAGAAATACCTAACAAAAATGTAAGGCCAATTTCTTTAGAATTTCGTTCTTTCTTGTAGAAATATATGTTAAGATTATGAAATATTCTATCTGAAATACTCTATTCTATTAAATACTCTATCAACACATGTAATATATTTTTGCAAATAAAATATATTAATAGTAAATATCAAGAAATTTATTACGTTATATATACGTTTCTTCGACGAAAAAATTCTTAGCATTTCGAGGGCAACTGCATTTTCTTATTTTGAGGTTGTTAATGAATATCCCCATTTTAAATCTTTAATGTACATTTATATAATGCCTATCACTTATATTTTTATTCTGCTTATATTGTACACACTCAAATGTCTTTGCGTGTGTGTATACGAATCGACAGTAGCTGGCGAGCGATGTACAAAAGTTTTAAGTATTGAAATCGCCAAAAACAATAAACAATTGAGTGACTAAAGGAAAAACCGAGCAGTTTGTAATCAAAAGTAACTTTTTGGCTTGTTAAATTCAAGATCATAGTGCGAGACAAACATATGTTTGACCTTATATTTGACGTGGCGACACTGCCGCCTCGCTTGATTTCCTAAATTAAACGGATAGTTTCAACGTGCACATGACACCAATTACTCACGATCGAAATTCGAATCGTTATTCCCGTCTGTATCAATCTCCAAAAGGAATGCATCGATCAGATTGCTCGGCTGATTGCCAGATAGCTCTCTCTCGTGTATCGCGATTTCCTCATCGAGAAAACTCCACAACTTCTGGAGAATCCTCATCAGATCGTTGTACCCTGATAATTCTGGCATCACGAAACGTAAAAAAGGCATTTGAGAGATCACTCCACCCATGGTGTTGAATAATCTGTATATTACATTAAGCGTCACAATTCCGTTACCACAAGGCAACTACAATAGCAGTAATAGCAAAATATAAAAATTATTGTGAAATATTTTATACACATGTACGTCACACATGTAATCGAATTAATACATTCACTATCACTTATTTGACGAACTCTTCCCATAGATCACATTATATTTGTTTTTATAATTGTATAAAACAGACTCGGTTTGTTTATGATTTGTTTATGTAAATATACAGAGAGAAAAATGATCGCTGTTGTATATATGTAGATAACGTAAATAGACGCAAAACTGAAAATTTTGAATAAAGTTGAGCTAATGACGTTAGTAATGAAAGTACCAAGTAAAAAATTAAATAATTGAAGTAAAGATGAGCCTCAAATGAGTGATCAATGCGCCATAAATGTGTGACGCAAAAGTGTTAATATGTGTATGTCTGTATGTATATACCAAGAAACGAAGATGACTTTAAGATCTTCGAAGCTATTCCCCTTTAAGAAAAAGAAGTTTAATCATCATAAGAAGTTTTTATCCTAAGCAAACACAGCTTTGAAGATCATTTTTGTTTCTTGCTACGAGATTATTCAAGATGGCAATAGTTGCTGATTCATTCTATATATCATATATATTTCTAAGAAGTGTCGTTAACGCGAATAACATAATATAACAAGAGATAATATTCTGGTGATAAACAAACATACAAAGACACATAAGACTCTAAACTGACTAATTATTGCTTGCCTGAAAGCTTCATGAACAGTTGTGAGCACTTCCCGTACTTTTTCATCGTTGTACTCAAACCTATGTCCGGCGAACATGAACCACAGAGAATTTATCACCGCAACATCAAATATACGATCCATTCGCACTGCGCCACGCTGACTCACTTGTTGCAAATGACTCACGAGATTTTTTGCTTCGAGAGTCAATTGCTGCTTCATAATCGATTGACCTATACCGAACGTTCGAAGGTGTCGCATTGTAAATCTACGACATTTCGCCCATACAGCCCCGTCAGTAAACACGATGCCTGTTGAGTAGCAACACCGAATGTTTCCCGATCTCTTAATCAATATATCTTCACGGTGTATTTTATCATAATTTAGGACTCACCCTTTCTTTTCCCAAATGATCGTACTCTGAAGAAAAAGCCATCCGGACGGCCGTTAAATTCATCTCTAAGGAGAGCCTGCTTCACCAGATCATATGTCGAAATTACCACTATCTTCTGTTTTCCAAGTTTCAGTCCCAATATCTGTCCGTATATGTGTGACAATGTTTGAAACACCAAATAATTGTACTGGTGCTTGTAATATAACCACCGGTATATCGGGAAACATCCCAACAATGGCAACCATGTCGGACCTGTATTATTATTTTTATATTGATATGCATTTTTATACGTCTCTTATACTTCACAACGTTTAACGATTCTTCGAATTGATTCGGCGTTTTCTTCGCGGTAAACTAACATTTTACTATCACAGCACGTACCGGGTGGATAATTCTTCGGCTTGAGGCAGTCATAGATGCAGTAGAAACAAATAATGATGGAAACAAGATAGATTGCCAGGTACATCATCTTTGGATACTCTAACGTGTTTCGTCTCAAACTTGTTTATATATATATATATATATATCTAGTTAAGCATGTATTTATGCAATGACAAACGCGAGTTTGCGTGTTTTACCCCACTATACTTATGTTAATCAGCGTGACATTCTTGACCTCGGCTAAAAATATTGTTTTGTGTACGGCCGACTCTACTTTTGTTCGGATTCTCTGGTCGTTGAAGATCTATCGATCGATCGATTTCTTTCTTGGTATTGTGATTCAGCGTGGAACGTCTTACAAGAAAGTAAATGTTTTGTCCGAAGAACTTGAAACTCGTTCAAATATATTTGGAAAGTTTTTACCGCACACATATGTGTGTGATGAAAGAAACAATACGACGAAAAACATGTCGCCTTGTTTCCAGCTGATACACATGTAGGTCTGTCGAACGAAAGGAAACGTGAAACAAAAGTGAAAATAATTCCTGTCCGGCCGTGCTGTACCAGAAAAATGGTCGTATCATGATTTCTCCGACTCGTTTCTTTTTTCCCGTAGCCAATCGCCACGCGACCGGAGAAAAATCCACTCTTCCGTAGTTGGCGCCAGTGAAATCTCGTCGTCATCGTCATCAATCGAGTGGAGTCTGCAACGCGCAATATGGTGCGGCCTACCGAGACGGACAACACAGTGGCATGCATTAATTTATGCCGCTGTGTGGGTGCACGGATACTTTCTCCATGGTCGAGGTCTTCTACATGCTGGTCGCTTGCCTTCTATAACAGACTCCACTTTCACCAATTTCGCAGAGATACGTGCGCGTATTCGCGTTGCATCATCTATATCTAATAAGTCCAGGGCGACAGTGTTTTACTTCAAAATTGGGTGGCCATTCAGACGTTCCGTTTTCAATTCCCGCTATAAAAAAAGAAACGAAAGAAAGAAACCGCAAAGCCGTATTCGTTTTTCATTTTTTCATAAAGAATGTTACTTTCAAATGTAAAAATCTTATTTGTCACGTGTGAAACGTTGACATCTACAACATACGCAGACAACACAGACTTTCCAAGAGACGTCTTGAAGACGTTCTGGAAGTGTTCTGAAAATATAAGGACATCCTTAGAACGTCCACAAGACGTCCCTTAGAGATGTGTGCTATCTGGATATAAATCGTTATCTATTAACACGCCACGAATGTAATGTGACTATAATGTAAAAAATATTTTAATGTTAGAATCCGTAAAAATATATAACATTATCGTTGTCTAAAACAATGTTTAAATTATTAATTTTATGAAATAACAAGATTGAAATTTTTGACACACGATTGCACGATCTTGAGTTGCGTTAATGGATATATAATTTAATTTTTCATTCTTTTTTAAGAAAATTATGCACAAAAGAGCATAACGGTTCATCTCTAGGATAGATCAAATTAATCTTTCTGTTACGAAATTAGATCGACATCTCTGTTACAAAAGAAGAATAATTACTAATGCATACGAAGTAAAATTCAGTGATGATGAGGATTATTTGGGTTTCGGTGATAATGGCGGTTATCTCAACGGAAAAGATATCGTTGATCGTTTGGACGGAAGTGATATGGGTGGATATTTGGGTGACGATAACGTCAACGGTGGCGGAGGAAGAAATAACGATGACTTAACAAAATATTCATGAACTTTATTCGTAACGGCATTAGTTAACAATCAGGAAAACAACAATAACGCGTATACATATAAAAAAGGAAGGAAACAAACAGCAGGGAGCAAAAGTAGATTATGCCATGTCATAAGGGTCGTACAGGTGGCACCCCGAAGAATAGGGAGCGCATCAGTCGAGTATACTTCGGGTAACTTAGTTTCACACGCGACCTATCTTAATCTTAAGACATAATATATACAGCGACTTATGTTACAGTAGTCTCGCGCGGAGACGTTTGTACAAGCATTTCGAAGGGTTACAGTGCGATTATGGTGCACAGAGATCTAGCTCTAGATCAGTGATTGGGGAAGGTGAAGCTGGCTTGACCTCCGTTTTGATTAGTCGGCGGCGGTACCAGATCCTGCGTGACTGTTGGCAGAATTGCCTTAAAGGATCTGTCCCACCTGACATTGTTGTCTTCGACCTGACGTTGTTGCGTCTTCTGCTGCTGCTGCTGCTGCTGCTGCTGCTGCTGCTGCTGCGTCTTCTGCTGCTGCTGCTTCTGCTGCTGCTGCTGCTGCTGTTGCTGCTGCTGCTTCTGTTGTAACTGCTGATCCTGTTGCCCCGAATACCTCTTCTGCAAGGCAACTTCCGGACTGTAGGGTACCACTTGCGTGTTCTGAACCTGCGTATCCTTGCGGTCCCAGTGATGATGATGGTGATCCTCGTTGGGGAACCATTCCGATATCCAGACCGGTTTCCAGATCTTCTTCCAAGCCGGCACCCAGATCTGCTTCCAAGCAGGCACCCAGATTTGTTTCCATGCTTCCTTCCAGGCGAGTTTCTTGTCGGGAATCCATTCTAGCTTCTTATCGGTCTTCCAAACTTGTTTCCAGGCCTCCTTCCATTCGAGTTTCTTGTCCGCTACCCAAATAAGTTTTTTACCTGGTTTCCAGATCTGCTTCCATTCTTCCTTCCAGATTAGTTTCTTGTCATCTATCCAGATCTGCTTCTTTGCCGGCTTCCAGATTTGCTTCCAGGCTTCCTTCCACTCGAGTTTCTTGTCTGGTACCCAAATTTGTTTCTTGGCCGGCTTCCAGTATTTTTTCCATACTGGTTTCCAGATTAGCTTCTTCTTCCAGAGATCGTGGCTGGTGTACTGCCAACCGTGATGATCCGTACCGTGATAATGCTCGCCCGGTATGCCGACCTTTACCCATTCAGGTACCCAGAGTTTCTTCCAAGCCGGTACTTGAATCTCCTTCCATACCGGCACCTGTATCTCCTTCCAGACTGGTTTCCAAATTCTCTTCCACGCGGGTACTTGGATCTCCTTCCAAGCAGGTACCTTAATCGGTATCCAAACCGGCTTCCAGATCTTCTTCCAGGCCGGCACCTGTATCTCTTTCCACACCGGCACCTGAATCTGTTTCCACACGGGCTTCCAAATTTTCTTCCAGGCGGGGACCTGAATTTCTTTCCACACCGCCTTCTGAGTCGGCACCCAGATAGGCTTCCAGATTTTTTTCCATGCGGGCTTCCAGATCTGCTTCTGCGCCGGCTTCCAGATCTTTTTCCAGCCTGGCTTCCAGATCAGCTTCTTTTTCCAGTAACCTTCGTCATGATGACCGCCATGATGCGCATCGATTCCTCCGCCGCCACCGCCATCCAAATGTCCACCAATGTCACCCCCGCCCAAATGACCACCGATATCACCTCCTGTGTGATGACCGCCGATATCACCGCCTCCAAAATGACCGCCAATATCACCGCCGCCGAGATGACCGCCAATATCACCGCCTCCAAGATGGCCTCCGATGTCACCACCGCCAAGATGAGCACCGATGTCACCGCCACCAAAATGACCCCCGATGTCACCACCGCCAAAATGACCACCGGCGTCACCGCCGCCAAAATGACCACCGGCGTCACCGCCGCCAAAGTGACCACCGGCGTCACCACCACCAAAGTGATTTCCGATGTCACCACCTCCAGAAGTACCATAACCACCACCGTAATCTCCTTCCCATCGCTTTTGCGCCGCTTTATTAGATCTGTAACGACCGGAATTTCTCACAGTTTTATTGGTGAAAATTTTATTTTGCTACCGAACATTGTAAATAATATTCGAAATTAGTGATTGTCGCCATATGCTAAAGTGCGCCATCATACGTACGGAGTTTGCTGTTGTATCTGCTGCTGTAGCTGCGTTTGATCCAGAGCTTTGCTCGCCACAAGAGCGGCCTGCAGTAGCACCGCTAGTGCAGCCTATAGATAATATAATGTCACAATGATAATGAATCACGTTGATAAATGGATCGCTGAAAAGTCTTTAAAACTTTAAAGTCTGAAAACCTTTAAAACTTTGTCTCAATATTAAACAAAGCCATTGTATTAAAATCAAAATAAAATCAGGACGAGACCTGAATTATTAGAATCTAGTCAATTTTTATTGGTTAACACAGTATGTTCATTGCGTGGGTGATAATAAATTTATGCAAATGTAATTCCATAAATCGATACGTTATATTCCCGCGCGCCGATGAATCTGACAAATTGCGAAATTGATCAAATGAAGTACACGAGATCTCCACGAATACATAAATCCAGAAGTTTATAGAGGTTTACAGTCTGAAATCTAAAAATGCATGTAGATTCATAAAAATTAATGATCCCGTAATCAAGTTTTTACGATAAGGTGGAGACAGCAAAGAGAAAGTTAGTGACGGTAGACAATGCTATATATGGATACTCAAGTCGTAACTGCACAAAATTAGAGGTTGATAAAATCGCAAAACTGTGGATCTATAAATCCTAATGGGTAAATGGCTTAGTTGAATTCACTAAATTTCTGGTAAAATATAAACAAACTAGAAATTTTCGATTGAAGTTAGCAGAGTTCCTTTCAAATTAACCAAAAATCGAGTTAACTTGAATGAAATTCTAATGATTTTAAAATTTTTCTTTATATTTTATCATAGATTGGGTTAACAACCTCTTTTTTCCGTGTAATATCCGACACATCGGTAAAGCCAAAGTGTGCGATATCAGAACGTATACAATAAGCACATATAATAGATTATTCTACGTCACGATTGTCAAACAATTCGCAGTTCCGTTAAAATGTTAATAATACACCGAAGAGGGAGCCACGCTTCTCGGAATTCTCGCACATACGTTTCGGCAACTCGCGCGAATCTCTTTATTTTTTTTCTCGAATTAAACCGTGCAAACCGTGTGCAGCAGACCGAGCGGAAGATTTGCGGGACGAAATTTCAATCTCGACTTCGCTAGCGTATTCGCGAATTCGGCGCAACGACGCAATCGAAATAGAAGCAATGAAAAAAGTGACAACTGACCGCGCATCTCGGGCGAATCCTCATATCTGTCGCAATGCCGCCCGTTGGGCTCGGGCCGCGTACTCTTGTTCCCTGGGCGCAGGAAAACGTAGCTTACTTCGTCCAATCATTGGAACGCCGTAGTTATATAGGCGCGTGTCCTCCCCAAAGGCGCACCGCAGGACCCCGACGCTGCAAGGAGCGACAAGCGGCGGCGGTGGCGTGTCCGTCAAGGTGGTGGCGGACCTCGGCCCGATGGAGGTGGACCGCGCGCGCCAGCCGAGACCACAGGTGGTGGCATCGGGGGAATTTCGATGGTAGGAAGATGGTAAGGTATGGTAACGGTAACGCCGCGAGACCCGCCGGCGGATAAAAATTCTCCTCGGCCGTCCCTCCCGGTTCCTCCCCCACTTCCGGCGTAGTCGGAATCGCCGTCGTCGAGGAGGTGAGGAGGAGCCATCGTTCGGAGAAAGTGATCAAGAACGCGATCCGGTTGAGCGAGCACTTCGACTTCGTTCGGTTATTCGCGAGCATGTGTTTCAACGGTGAAGTTCAAGCCCGGCAAGGTTATGTGACAAGGTTATGCCTCGCGCTCCAGATTATACCGATCGAGAAATAGCGGAGAAAGGAAGAAACCGGCGATCGACGTCTGTTGCTGTTCCTTCTTTTTATTCCGCGTCTCGGCTATCGCACGTCTAACGAAGTAACGGAGAAATCTCGATTTTCCTCGGATCTCTTTAAAGAAAGGGAAAATCGTCACGCATTGTATCCGAAAGGACACGTAAGACACACTCAGAGAAAAGACATTGTGATGGCGACTATATAGATGGCAACTATGCGAGTTTTGTATACAGAATTGATGTGTGTATAATTTAATAAACTATTTTATAGTCGTTACAAAACTAAAGGTTTAGTTGCAGTAACTGCAAGATAGTTTGTTAAACTATATATATATATATATATATATATAAATTCTATATATACAATATAGTTTAGTAAACTATTTTATAGTTATTCCAACTAAAAGTTTAGTTACAATAACTAGACCAAAGTATTTTATTAAACTGTATATATTGTAATACTACATACAAAACTTGTAAGTTGTCGCCTATATAGTTACCATTACCGTATTCTTTTCTGAGTGCATCGACTTGTATGTCAATAGATAACCGTCGAAGAATCTTTTATAAATCGAGATTTCTCAAGTAAACCTTGCTTACGTGTCTTCCCGATGGTTTTCCAGAATCAGTAATGTAAAAACACAAGACGTCATGGGAGCATCTTCAAGACGTCCAAAGGATATTTGCCAGGGTATCGATCACATGTCTTTCTCCCTAACGTGACTTCGTGAAAAATAAAAAGTTTTACGTGGGAATTTTCACATTTGCATTATTCGAAGAGTTACACGATCGCCTAAAGTCGTCGAGTTCACGTGAAACTTTTTACTATTCACATTTCCACTTTTAGGAAGAAAGTCACATGACCCTTACTCAGGACATGTTCAGTAGGACTCTAACGGACGTTTTGTGCTGCTTGGGCTATAAATACCAATTTCTTTACTTCAACTTGACTAAACATTTAATCCCTTTTACGTTACTTTTTTCAGCAAAAAGTCGTTGCGCCATTTACGCAGAGTCGGCGTCGCTTTCTGGAGTCTATAAGCGGCCGCGATTATGCGCTCTTCCCGTCGAAGAGCCTGAGATCAGTTCCGTTTCGCAGGAGCCCATTATAATGCCCAAAGCGGAACCTGGAGGCATTATCGAAGGCTTCCGCGTCTTTTAAACTACGTTCGCACGTTATGGACACGTTAACAGCGATGATGGATATCGCCCGGACTATTAATCATCATGTCGACGAGAAAGAGCGTAATGGCGATGGCGATTCGCGTTTAAAGACGATTCCAGATGCGGCAATGCCGTCGTAATACGGCAAGAGTTACGAGCGATCTTTAGGAGCCCTCGATAAACTCTAATTGCTCCCTTTCGCACGGAGCTTAACGACCATACCGCGGTTTTCCTCTTGTGCGAGAACCGGCCAGTTCGCTGCTCGGCTTCGTCGAGAGAAAGCGCGCCGTGAAACAGTTCCTGCTGCACGCGGGAGCGCGTTTTCCGCTCTTTATTCGCGCGAGGAGGACAATAACAACGACGGCGAGAAAATTAAAAAAGCGACCGGGCTCGTTCGCGAAACTGTTCGGCGATGATAGCGAAAGCGTCTCGCGCTCTCGGCTCGACAGCCCGTTGCCACTCAAGGCAACGCAGGAAAGTGCCGTATTCAGGCGATATCGAGGAGCTCTCAAAAGCAACGTTCGAAAAGCCGAAGGCCGTTAGTGGAAGGCGCGCTTGAGAAGACGGTTAGCGGTAGCTGCTAAACCGCGTTAAGTGCGTGTTATCCGTTTAACACGTCGCAGAGCCGGAACGGGGTAGACGCTGGCTCACCGATGAAAGTGAATTCCCTCGCTCGCAGCTTCAACCGCTAGAGAGTCTCTCGCGGTCTCTCGGGTCTTTCAGGACTCGACATCACGCTCGTCGTTGTCGCTCATGAAACTCGAGTGGGATACACGTTCTCGCTGTTCCGGTTCATAAATCACTCACGGTTAGCTCCGGGCAAACCGCTCCGGGCAAACCGCTCCAGATTTTCGAGTCAGGCTATGAAAGTAATCCCCGCGGACGTGTCAGAGACACGTTTAGGATATCCGTTCCCAGCCGGCCGCACGCCCACTAATCGCTATGCGTTAACGCTGTACAATTTGCACGGTCTGTATAAATACAGATGCGTACACAGTGAGTCACACACTTCGAGAGGAACGTACTCCTCTCTTCCGCGGTTGAAAGCGATGAAGAAAAATGGCGGAGGACAGATTTTGAGACTCGTATGCGTTTTGGTTCAAGTGTTGGACATCGATCGATCGAAATTTTTTTCAGTTGAAATAATCAGCAAATCAATAATCAAAATTAATTTAAAATGAAAAGAATGCGCCGGGAAAAAATGTTTGATATTTGTAACTATAATTATATAAGGAAACAATCACAATAAATTATGGTCAAGAAAATCATTGTTTTCCAATTCTAACGTAATGTTAGTGATAACCTTACATGTTAGTGATAACCTTATATGCATGTTACCACTGCCATTGCACTAGAAAAAATATAGCTAGGACCAAAGATAATAATAATTTTAATTACATTAGCCATTTTTTCTCTCATTGTACGACCTGTAAAAATCAAATCACAGTTGTTTGACGCAACTGTCCAATTGCAGTAACTGATATTCTAATATTTCAAAATTAATCAATCGTTACATATGTAATCACAAGTAATCGATTGACTAGATAAATTATTTGATTTAATCGATTGATGTGATAAATTATTAGTCAGTGTATAATCAATCACATCAAAGCTTAATTAACAATTAATTTCATTAATCGTTGAAGTTATTTATGATTTTATATACAACGATTGACTAATTTAGATCACTGATTTATCGATTATGTTAGTCAAAAAAAATTTTCGTCAAAGCCCAACACTGGTTGAAGGAAACGGTTGAATTTCTGGTTCACGCATTTATTGTCACTTGCTGCATTTATTGTCAGATTAATTCCATCAAACTTTTTTCTGCATCTATTTTCGTAGTTATATGTCTCTATAATGACGCTCAACTTCTCGCAAAATTCTTTCTTTCGCCGCTCGACGTATCTGCAAAGGACGCGACTCAACTTTCTTTTAGTAAAACGTCATACACTGAGAGAAAACAATAATTAATCTCACTAAAATTACAGACACATTTCGATATCAACTATGTCTTCTTGCGATCTAAAATAGCAGCGGCAATATGCATTATTATCATTGACATTAAATATAATAACACTTGCTAGAAAAGTGCCTCTCCTCACTATAACTCTCTTACGCTATGCGATTACAGATAAACACTTTTTTTTTTTTTTAGAGTGCGTATCGGTAGGTCAGAGTGGGATTAAAGCGATAAAATAGAAGAGAATTCAAGCGAGATAACATATGCATGAAGTAGCCCAGCAGTGCTTTCTTCCGTGCTGTCACTTTTATTCTTTAGAATCTAGCGAAACGCGACGGGAGAGAGAGATGGTGGCGATAAAAAATGATATTGCGCAACCACACAGGAAACGCTTTTGGTACGCGTTCGCCGTGTAACCCAAATATCAAGAGACGCTTCGAGAGGTCCGGTGTCCCCCGCTCTTCCCCCGGATATCCCGAGGGCCGAGACATTTAGAAAGCAAAAGCGCACGTACGCAGGCATCGATATGTCGAACGGGTCCAATGTAAACAGGACAGTTTTTTACTGGCCCCAATTTTCTATTTGCCCGCGGTCGCGCCTTAGAATTTTTCAAACATCGCTTATGCCAAAAACGAAGCCGTTTTACTATCGTGGGAAGTTGTCTTCCCGAAGTGTGCCAGAATCTATTGCGACAGCGCCGACAGCATGTCGAGCATAGTTACGCGATGTAGAGTGAATTCAAGAGCTCCGGTCGGTGAATTCAAAAGTATTCATTGCACATATCGGTCGCATAATTTTCGCCGGGTTTCTCGCAGTCCGACTCCTGCGACTTTATTAATTAAATCAAGGATCTCGGCTGGGACAAGTTTTCAAGTACTTTACACACGCCTAATAAGCTTCCTCTATTCCTGCCACTTTCTTGCCGTCGCAGCCGGGTCATTGCACTTCCTCCGCGAATTACGTCGGTCTTATTAGCCTACGCACGCATTTTAAATGCCCGATAGCGATCTGCCGCGAACACCGGTGAAGCGAGCCCACGGAAGAAAGTAAATTCTCCGCGAGGTTGCGAAACGAAGAATGCGTTGCTTTATCAATAAAAAGTCTAATAGGCAGGTTCTTTCTCGACGTAAAATTATTCGCGAGAGAAAATAGATCTACTCACCGAGAATGTCGTCACACGCCTCGTACATCGATACCGTTATACAAAAGGACATTACAGTTGTAGAAAGAATCGTTTACTTCGACTTCTTTACGTGACGTGTAATAGCGAAGCGTTATTTCGAGAGTGAAAAGTCGCATTGTAACGACTTTGAAACCGCGAATGACGTCGAGCATTCGTAATGCCATTGCAACCTATGTTGCGTTGACTATAAAAAGGTACCTTACATAATCATTGTTCGCCCATTGTTTGTATCAATTGATATGTCAAACACAATGTTATCGAGGCATCTATACCGAGGGAAAAAATGTCTAAGAAATAAAAAATACTAATAACATATTTACTTGCACTAATGTTAACATTTTTTTAAGTACGGAAATATACATTCTCTTAAAAATTTAGCTTTCCATGAAAGCAATTGTTTATTCTATTTAAATAAAGGAACTTAGATTTAAGTAAATATGTTATTGGTACACTGAGAAAAAATACTTGAAGATTTATTTTTGGGTAGGGCAAAAGTTTATTAAAAAAAAATTTTATATCCCCTAAAAATAAATTTTCAAATATTTTTTCTCAGTATACGCACTAAATAAATACTTTTTATTCTCTAAATTTTTTTTTCAGTGTGTGTTACATTGTTGCATGTTAATTTGAATTAACCACATTAGTTTGCGAACATACTGAATAAATTAAATAACCTTATGTTGAAATTTTTTCATGTATACGCGGAATTGAGCGATTTTTAAAATGACAATTAATTCTAAACCACAAATTTCTTTGTCTATTAATATTTAAATGTATATGTACATATATATGTGTGTGCGCGTGGATTTCCCTTCCTTTCTGGTTTATATGTGTTTGTCTCTGGGAATAATTTTGTAGATTCTCATACATCAACTTCATCCAGGAAGAAGCTTACTTCCGGTGTTTCCCGCGCTTTACTAAGGTCACCGGGTTCAGCCAACTATCACGACTTTCCGTTTTCTATGTCATGCATCTATCTCATGCAATCTCTCTCTCTTCTCGTGTCTTAATCTGCAATATTGCAGTCATGTTGCGTCGTGTCACGTTGAGTTCCACGACGGGAAAGTCGTCGGGCTGCACACACACACACACACACACACAGTCGTAGAAATATTTCCATTTTATTTTATTAATCAATGCAAATGTAATAAACTATACTTCCTATTTGCACACTTTATAAGCAAGCTTTTTCTGCGACAAGAAAATATCGAAAGCGGCACGTCGTACGTCGCGGTTCTTACTTTTAACACGGCATATCTTTTCTGACAAATTTTAAATTAAAGGTTTCACTAAAATTCACTTCAAATTCCTGCGTTTCAGTGAATACGAATACAATTAATATTAATTCCCATCGTATTTATCGTCCTCAAAACTTATACGAGATAGAGTGATAGAGTAATGAATGAGAGAAAGAGAATATAGTGATTACGTGCAAAACGGGTGACTGTCTAATCAAAAGTATGTCTAGTACGACGACCATGTAACTAAATAGGACTCAAGAAAAAGAAGTAATATTCGCTGTATGCGCAATATCTCGATCAGCATGCAAGCCGTTAAAGACAGAGTGCACCTGTCACACATGCACGGGGACTTTCATGCGGCCCCTACCTGATGAGACAGAGAAATGTGCCGCTCAAGAGCGGGTTTCTGACCCGCGATCGACCTTCCGCAGTACTTAACGGATGAGTAGAGAGTTATGGGCGCATCGTTCGCTCGAGCGATGCATTCAGGACGAGCCTGACTCGAAAGTGAAACTTGCCCTAAGTCTGTGATCAACGATGCGCCCTGTCTAGGTGAAATCTGTACGCGTATTTACCTCAAACGATCCATAAAACATTGTTTTTTGTACGATTGCGGTATATCCACTGATTACGTGTAGTCTGACCGAGACTACACGCGTCACGTAATCGAACGAGAGGACATTAGCCTGATGTCATGTAAAACAAACAATTACAATTTCAGTAGAATAATCCTTCCGAGTATGTGTGTGCGAAAATATTTCTCTGAAAGAAATGACCAAAGCAAAGAAACGTTAGGTGTCGTATTTCTTGAATATTATGTCATTTCACGTACAAACTTACAGATCGAATATAATGATTTTTCAAATTCTAAGGATTTCGAGATAAAATAATTATATACAGAAAACATGCATTGCAAGGTGAAAGGCATTGTACATAAAAATAAAAAAATTCATTTCTTACAATATAACCTATATAGAAACTTACTCTTCTGTTACTTGTAAATTTCTTCAAGCTTGAAATTAATGGATCTGATGCTAATAATATAGATAAGATACGTTTATTTATATGCAATTCAGATATCTCGCTCGTACAATGTTTTTCATTATATCGACATTCTTTATTTAAAAATTTTTGTTATTCTTCCAAGCTCTAAATATCCTGCTTGGTAAACATCTTGGTAAAAGGAAGAATTAATCCTGAACAAACAAATAAATTATAAGTATTTTAGAACACGCGGACGCGTTAGGGGAAATCAAGATTCAATTATTCCTGCACTTTGAAATTCTGCGCATAATAATAAAGGCATCATCATGAAAGAAAAAAAAAAGACTAATTATGGAAGCATGATTTGCTGTCTTACAGTTTTAAATCTTTTTTTATTATTTTTTTTTAAGACTTAAAGATACATGAGGCGTCGAGATTATGTGTCTTTGACTTCCCTTCACGATGTTTTGCACGTAAACAATTTTTAACGAAAAGAAGAACATGACATATTTGTACACATCCAGCCACAGGGCGTAGAAAACAGCGCGCTGTGCGAGTGAGATCAGTCGTATTTGTTATGACCGCTTCTGACGCCGATTGTCCGACTGTTCTGTCGCACATACCGTGACCATGCGCGATATATACCCGCCGGCCTACTCGCTTGTCCGCTCACGGGAGTACTTTCACTCTCCGAGCGTATATCCCATGGATCCGTTAACCGGAGCTTCTCCTCAAGCTTGAAGCGCGGCATTATATGCTAATGGACCTTACCATCGGAAGAATTCGCTCGAGGCTTTTGCTGGCAGCTACGGGCGAAAGGCACGAAAAGTGTCCTGACGAGGAAGGGATAAAAAGGGAGACAAGGAGACAGAGACGGAGACGGAGAGAGAAAGAGAGGGAGGGAGAGAGACGCTGTAAGATTAATTGCAATTAAGGTCAGGAGTAATAAGAAAGGCGAGGAAAAATCAGCACAAAAAAACCGTAGGTATCTTCTTATCCGATTTCGACACATTGTCTCGTCGTATTTCTCCACATTTCTCCTTGCCGTTTGCAAGACGGTTGCACTTTCGCCTCAGCTATTCGACAAGTATGTCGTAAGTTCTATCGTCAATCACTATCGAAACTTGACTCGACTTGGGAGTCCCAACAGAGAGATCTTTTCGCAGGCTAGATTCATACGTATTGCGATATTTGTATAAAAATTTATGTGGAATTTCATACGATGCATGTTCGTGTGAGAGAGGGAAGAGGTTATACGCTCTCGTCTCTTCGAATGGAAAGTCTACTCTTTTATCATCCTCCGATATCTTTTAGATTTGTATAGATCGTCGTTGGGTCGTCATTATGAAAGATTTACCGGCCGTACCACTTCCGCTCTATGTCTCCCTTTCCACTCTGATTACGGTCTCTTTTTTATGGTCTTCTCTCATATCATCCCACACTTGTTGCGGCATGAACTTGGAGAAAGTAAAGGTCGCGAGTTCTCGCGACCCTGAAGACCCTGAGACAGGCTTGCTCTCTTGATTCTCGTCTTATCCTAAGAAAGCATCGTACTTCTCTTCTCTGCCGCGTCACCTTTCCGTTTCGTTTTTACGCCTAACTTTCGCCTAACGTCAATTAATTGCTGTACAAAAATAATTAATTGCAAAAACGCTTAGAAGAAATACAATCTGTAATTTCTTTAATTGGCCTTCAGAGCGTTTGTCAATATGTATGATATGTTAGGAAAATTATTTTCATATTATATCTTGGAAATTATATAAATATGTGGGAAAAAATACAAATTGTTTTATTTACAAACGTAAAAAAATTTCATTCTCACTTTCCTCCCCTCTTTTTCTTCTTTATTACCACCACGTCAATCAGTGCTCGAAATTAATTGCGCTTCTGAGCCTATTTAATCACTATCACTTCATCAAGCCTGTAATTTAGTCAAATATGAATTCTCTCTCTCTCTCATAGTGCCCAAACTCGCATCTGTGTAACATTTCTGTCTTCTCATGTCTGAATGTCAATTACTCTCGACACATTACAAACAACGAAGAAAGAAATCATACATAAAAACGCGAGGAATATTTAATTAACGCCGTGGCATATAAAGCATTATTTATTAACGTATAAAAAAATATTAACATGCACGCATCTAAATAATCAAACGATATGTACACACTGGAGAATTAAATTACGCATAATTACGAATACATGTCCATCCCGAGTTTTGATAAATCATCTAATAATATACATTTTATAATCCCAAATATAGGCGATTATATACTGGAAAATGAATAAGAGAGAAATGTTACGCTTTCGACGTCTTATCAATCATTTCGGTGAAATTTAAGATTAGATTATCATGATACAACAGATATTGAGCGTTATGTAATCTTAAGAATTAAACGTTTCGTTCGATGTAGATGACGCGTATAAATTGTAACTCTAGTTTTCAACGAATATGACAAACATTCTTCTAACGACGATTTGTTTGATTTTGCCCCTCTACATTCTATTTAGCTAATATTCGCAGACAACATGACCGTATCCATCACGATGATATCCTGACAATCAAATATTCGGATAGATATAGAATAATCTGCGTAAAGAATCGTCGGCCGTCAAAGGATATGCAACGCGAACGCGCTGTCACCAGGATAATCGTTAAAAAATTTTCCTCGTCCACTCCTCCGGTGCATATCTCATCGTCGCGATGCTTTCTAACTGTTAACCATAAGCCTTTCCCTCCTTCTAGTATACGTCTATCGGCCCGACTTTACTCCAAGACTTTCCTCCCGAGATGCGTGTCCATTTGTGGGCAATCAATTATCACAAATCTTATAAAGTTCGAACAACTTTCTTGGTAGCACGCGCTGAGTTCTTCGCCAGAATCCGCTTCTCGGGCCTATGAGCGCGCCGTGAAATGGACAAAGGAGGAAAATCGAAGTCGGTCGAGCGTGACCCTCGACGACGACGACGACGATCTTACTTGTAGCCGTGATGACCTTCATCGTGATGGGACTCAATGGGCACCCAAACTTTCTCCCAGACGGGCTTCCAAACCTTCTTCCAAGCCGGTACCTGCACATCTTTCCAAACCGGAACCCACTTGCTCTTCCACTCGTCTTTCCACACCTGCTTCTTCTGCGTGACCCAGATCTGCTTCTTCTGAGGCACCCATACTTGCACCGATTCTTCTTTCCAGACCAGCTTCTTGTCCGTCACCCAAATTTGTTTCTTTTCCGACTTCCAAATTTGCTTCCATTCCGCTTTCCATTCTAATTTCTTCTCGCTCACCCAGATCTGTTTCTTCTCGGTCCTCCAGATCTTCTTCCAGACCGGCTTCCAGATCAGCTTCTTCTTCCAGAGATCGTGACTAGTATATTGCCAACCATGATGGTCCTTGCCCACGTATTGTTCGCCAGGTATACCAATCTTGATCCATTCCGGCACCCAAATCTTCTTCCAGTCGGGTACCTGGATCTCCTTCCACACTGGCACCTGGACTTCCTTCCATACAGGTTTCCAAACCTTCTTCCAAGCCGGTACTTGAACCTCTTTCCAGGCTGGCACTTGTATCTCCTTCCAAACGGGTTTTTGGACTTTTTTCCATACTGGCACTTTGACCTCCTTCCAAGCGGGCACTTGAATTTCCTTCCAAACCGGCACCTGCACCTTCTTCCACTCTTGCTTCCAAATCAACTTGGACTCTGTTTTCCAGATTTGCTTCCACTCGGGTTTCCATACCAGTTTCTTTTTCCACACGCCTTTCGGTTGATCATGCGCCGGAGGGCCGTATGATCCCGAAGGCGGTGACGGCGGCCCGTAGGATCCTGAAGGTGGTGGCGGTGGCCCGTAGGAGCCGGACGACGATCCGAAGCCACCGCCATCACCACCCGATCCGTGATGATCACCGAACGAACCACCTCCGAAACCACTGTCAAAGGATCCTCCTCCTCCTCCTCCACCATGACCGCCGTCATAGGATCCTCCGCCGTGGCCACCGTCAAAGGAGCCTCCTCCACCGTGGCCACCGTCAAAGGAGCCTCCTCCACCACCGTGGCCACCGTCAAAGGACCCTCCGCCGTGGCCACCGCCATAGGACCCTCCGCCGTGGCCACCGTCAAAGGACCCTCCGCCATGGCCACCGCCAAAGGACCCTCCGCCGTGGCCACCGTCAAAGGATCCTCCTCCTCCTCCTCCGTGACCACTGTCGTAAGATCCTCCGCCGTGACCGCCGCCGCCGCCGCCGCCGTGACCGCCGCCGCCGCCGCCGAAATCGTGGGATCCCGTGCCGTGATCGCCGCCGAAGGATCCGTGATCACCACCGGATGGCGCGCCGTAGCTAGACGACGGTGGGCCATAACTCTGCGAAGGTGCCCCGTAAGATGAAGATGGGCCGGACGGCGCGCCGTAGGACGACGAAGGCACAGACGGTGCACCATACGATGATGATGATGGCGCGGACGGTGCACCGTAGGATGACGATGGCGCGCCGTAAGACGATGACGGAGGCGGAGGTGGTGCGCCGTACGAGTCGGAGGGTGCACCGTAAGACTTTGATGGCGGGCTATAAGAATCGGACGGCGCCCCGTACGATGTCGACGGTGGTCCGTGATTGTTCAGCGGCGGCCCATATTGCGAGCTTATGGGAGGCCTGCAACGTTCATTCTAGATTGAATGCATCCGATCTTATTACGTCATTCGACAAATTTTTGCACCAACGAGAAAGCTTCTTTCAACTTGATTGCGTACACACGATTTCGAGTTGCATTCAATTATGTACACGTGCAGACTGCAAAGTGCAACAAAAAACTTACTACTTTATATATTTAGTCATTATGAATGTTAATTAAAATTCATTTGTGGTGTATGATAATTTCTACATCTCGACTGAGTGTTTCTCCTTAAGTGCCATATGTTAATAACTCATTATGTACTCACTCTCTCTTTGTTCTAATCGGGTCTCCAAGCGCGGAGATAACAAAGAGGCCGCAGAATATTGTCTGAAAGAATCCTCTTAATTAGTTCCGTAAGGACCCCTATGCGAGTGATTCGCATTTATATTGTCTATTGTAAGTGATGATGATGGTGATGACGATGACGATGCTTAGAAATTCAGGAAGCGAGAGTTGGGAAAATGGCAATATTGTGTTCTACGTGAAAAGCGAAAGTGAATCCAATATCGAATTCAAATTAGAAACAAGTAAACGGTCGACTCGACCGTTTTCCAACGTTTCACTAAACATTTCTTGAAATATCGACTTATTATAAACAACAAACAAATATAGGCGATCCAAAGCCACAAAGGCGTTGTGTATTTGTATTGTCGATTCGTATAAAAATATTTGTGTTAAATTTACACCTGTGTGTGAATGTTAATTTAACATGTTGTCATTATTTTGGACATATTCTGCGTTGAGTTAATAAAAAGTCATCATTTCTAAATATTAAAATAGCACAATAGTCTCCAAGCATTTTTGTCCGTTGCATTTTTGTGTTAATTTTCGATATTTTATTTGTGTTGTTTGCTTACATATTTGCCCTATATTGAATCAACATCGAAATTAGAGTGGACAAGATATGTGTTAAGTTCAAAATCTTTTACCATGTATAATGTTTGAGAAAAATTAACGTGTTTCGATCGAATGATGGCTCAGGGCCAAATGTTAATCGCTGTAGCGTAATCCGCGTGTACGTTATCCTCGCGCGCATCAACACGTAAAAACAAGGGTACGCTAATCGTGCGATCGACCATGCTAAAGAGGCTACCGCCGCCTCCGCCGCCGCCGCCGCCGCCACCGCCGCGTTAATCGTCCTCTCTCTCTCGAGCGTGTCGCGATCCCGTCATTATCGCATCCGTGCGATCAGCGGCCATCAAAACTCTTCCACGGCTTTTCCTCGCGCGAAACTCAATCGTCGTCGTCGTCGTCGTCGTCGTCGTCGTCGTCGTCGTCGTCGTCGATCGTCGTCGAGGGATGGTAAGGGAGTGATCGTCGCGAATTTCTATACGCTCGCGGGCTTTACGAGTGCATCTCTCAAAAATGAAAGTGTCCGTCGCCGCGTGTGAACACACGGTCGATGTAAACAGGCGTAAATTGGGTCGACGTGTCCCCACCGCGGCTCCTCTCGTCTCTTTGCGTTCCCAGAAGGGGCCGTCGGGAAGCCCGGGCCCGACAATTAACTCGTCGTACTTTGCGAAAGTGGACTCTCTTCCGAGAGATTCTTTCTTTTTTTCCTTCTTTCTCACTGGATATTATCTTCAAGCGGTATTCGTCGCGGATTAACCCCGCGGAGAGGAAATGTCGAAACGTCGACAATTTCAGATCTCAGAGGATCATCCTCCAACCGGTTGGTATCCTGGTTCGAGAACCCAGAGGGTGTCTCGGATTCACTGCGTCGCCTTTGGCTTCTCAGATCCGGTTTTTATACTCTCTTCTTCCTGAACGAAAACGTCCAGAGAATCGGGATAGCTATCTCGAGATACTAACGATCGAAAAGCACGATCTTTTCGGCTATTAAGGTGTAAGGGATGCGAGAAAAGTTATTCGCCTGATAAGGAAACGTATGTGGAAGTGTATGTCTCTCGCCAATCCTGATGGGTTTTGGATACGTTGTGGAGCAATTGAAAGTAAGAAACACCTAATCTTTTAAGATGTGCCTTTTCATACGTTCACCAGAGCTTGACATAATTCCTCGAAAGTAATCCGACAAAATCGGTTGTCAAGTGAGGTGTACTTTCATATTTCCATTTGGGCATCATTTGTCTAAGTGTCGAGGTGGAGAGATCGCATAGAAACGGAGCATTCTAGACATACGTGTCTGGAATTTTAGCAATGAAGCTTTGACTCTGTTACTTGAGAAGTCGCGTCGCGTCGCATCATAGCAATCCTATTGAATCTCGTACACGGTAGTCGATACTAATGTATCTGCGCCTGGTATTTCCAGTATAGCTCCCGTTTGCAAAACTTTCCATTCCGCGCGAGTGAAAAGTGACAAGAATACCCGCAATTGTCGTTGGAAAATGGCAGCAATTTACCGCCTCGTCTGTAACCATTTACTGGTTATAATGCAGCGCTACTGTTTCGTACTTTAAGGTCATGGTGTCGGCTGTTGTCTGTACTTTTCTCGCGTTAGGATGGAAATGAAACGCGAACATGACGCTTAATGATAAATACCGCCTCTACGAAACGAGAAATGCCTCACGGTTCCTCGGCGATAAGTCAATGGTACGAGCGCCAATTAAAAAACGATGTGATGCCGAGAAAGAGTCGTATTTACGTGAAATCATCCCTTGGTAAATTGTTCAAAGATACATTATACGTCCGTATAAACGCATCTCTAAAAATAAGATATCTAAGGTTTGTATTCGTTACTTTGCCTCTATAACTACTTAAGTTACTAACTTGCCTTAGATGAGATAATCAGGAGTTTTGAAAATCTGGAGTTAAACGCGAATTTCTCAGCTGAATCACGATTACAAATTCAGGATCTGTATTAATGGTAGTTGCTTGGATCTGATCTCAGGTGAGATACTCAAATTCGAAATTCGAGTTGAATGTGAGTTTTTCAGTGCAGAATCGTGATTACAGATTTAATGCTGCATGTATTACATGATTCAAGAAAAAAAAAAAAGTGAAATCTAATTCTAAATTTAGATCTGTCCATGTCATACGGAATAAGTTCCAAGTAACGACATTTAATGTGAGCCATAATGTTACACGTATCATATGATTCAATTGAATACTAATTCTAAATTTAGATTTAGATATCTTACGTGAGACAAGTTCCTAGTAATCGAATGCCTAGGCTTATCTAATTGAGGATATCGAAAAGATATTGCTACGTAACGATAGATTCGGACGTTCAACTACACAAATCTATGCGCGCAGGAGTATATTGAGACGATCCGACCGACAGAGGAGCTGGACAATCGAAAGGATAACGCGCACAGGATGTGTCACTGTATCGCGCGATACGTCCGGACCTTGAAGCAACAATGATTTTTTCTGCATACGCATAAGTTCTTATACCGATAATACCCGCGTCACTTCCGGTCTTAGGAAAAAGCTCACATGTGTCACGACGAAAGCACTGACGAAAGCACACGGACCGAGGAGCTAATGAAAGATGAAAGCACTATGATAATAAACACTGACCAGAATGAACCGCATGTCTCCCGCCGCCGACGAGGGTTGTCGCCCACTGTAGGAGAGAAAAGAAAACCAAGAACGGCACCGACCGCCGTCCTTTTTTTACGGTTCGTCACTCCTCTGATGAGTTTGTAGTGACATCCCCGTGGCTTTTATAGCAAATGTACACCTCCGCCTAGACGCTCACGGTACCCTAGACACTCGGACCTTTCGAGGAGGGGTACCAGAAGAGTATTACTATAGTGTCTAAATGGGGGGTGCTGCATCCCGACTCTTCTTGGTACATCTTCAGTTAGGAGGGGATCCCCCTCGTTCATGCTTCGTAGTGAATGCGCCACGACAGAGATTCTACGACGAGGCGATCGTCGTAGCCGAGAGTCGCGAGTATCGTGATGCAAAGTGTGCTTTCGCAGAGTATAAACGCACAGAGATCGATCTGCGTTTAATAATACAGAATAACAAGCGTGGATAAAAGGAAGCAGGGAGCGAGAGACGATCTCCGATACGTATTTAACCGACTACCGATACTTTTGGTAGATTCGCCATTGAATTGATTCGTTCTCGCTACGAGATCGCAGCTAGATCTTCAGATAATCGATCGACGCATTCTAGTTCATCTAACAGCATGTGTTACGAGAACTGATTGCCTGATCAAGCGACACAAAAACGGAAAAAAGACTTGCTGATTCAAAGAGATTCAATTGACGGCGGACGTCGACGGTTTGCGTATGCAAACGTCGACATGTAGCCAAGCAATGACACGCGACACACGCGATACAACCGGTAATGACTTTCTCGATAATTATTATCAAGGTCCCTCTCGTAGGCGATCCCCGTGAGGGGAATGGACTTTCTATCGCTTCTTGTATCGACGACTAAATCGCACGGAGTAGTTTCAAGTAAAACACGTACTCACAGTTAATGGAAGTGGAGAAGGATTCGTCTTCATGAACGTTAAACAATCTAAAGAGAAATTATCATCCTCGTGTTATGTAAAAATCGCGAACGAACACGCGCTTTGAAGTTGCGCCGTTCGAAAGCCGCCGCCGCCGCCGCCGCCGCCGCGATTACAAAGGAAACGTTCTATTGGCTAATTGTCACAACAAAATATATACAAATGAGATACACGTGAATCTCATTTGGTTACAGTTACGTAAGATCCAACTCACAAAATTAGAATTTTAGAATTTTTCTCACCGATGGGTGGTCTACCGTCTATGTCTTTCCGCATTATGAGATCCGAGATCCTTATGAGCGTTTAAAAATTAATTAAAAAACAAGTTTTATTTTTTCTACAATACTATTGTACTTGTTTAGTAGTCGTGTCTTTTTTACCAATTTCAATCGTTGACATTTTGTTGATATTTTCAGTGATTTTCTTCAAAAGGGATGTTTTCTTGTGCTTCTTTTTTGTTCAACAAATTTAACGTGAAAGGCCGTAATTTAGTCAGTAAGCTAGTAGTCTGTCGAGAACTTTGAAACGTTTCTCTCTCGCGCGCATCATCCTCTCCCGTCTTCCCGATCATCACGACGCTTGCACGTCGATGCGATCGGCGTACGATCTTTGCTTGGCCTCACGTCGCATCAGTGAAAGGCAGCCTCGATGTGTATGCGCTCCGCTTTTCGGTGCGAGGAGCAACCGAGGTAACCCTCAGGAAGAAAGTCAAAGTGAATCTGCAGATGGCGAGCGCACGCGCGCGCATCGAATGCGGCGAAATTGTTCTCACGTGCATTACGAAATGCGCCGCCTCACGTTGCTCTTTTACATCGTGGGATGCGCCGCAATGCGATGAAATGGGAAAGGCGTTTCCCCGCACTTCAAGATTCGGAAGCGTACGATTGTGAGCGGACGTTGTTATTTCCTCTTGTATCGCGAATTGACGCGCCGCGCACTTAAAGATCTTCCGGCAGATCTGACAAAAAATACTCGATACTTTCCACGGTTGCGTGAAAATATTTCTGCAGGGCTCTTCTTTCGGGATTTTCAAGATTCGTTTGAACCAAGTTAAGGCTGGAATTTACATTCGAAAGTTTCAAATTGCCGTATTTTTCATCCGCGACTTCGCTATCCGTCATTTTTAGCTATTTGCGATATTCGCGTCGAGAAGAGCGAATACAGTTCCGCTGTTCTGAACTAACAAAATGAAATTTAATGGCACTGGGGATTATCTGTCGTCGTAAAAATTATGATTTATGTATTAACTCGTTATATACAACAGGAATTTACGGCACCTAATGCCTCCGATAGAAACCGTGAGGCAAATCGGGATTTTCTCCTAGAGTTCAGGCAAGAGCATCCGTCGCGGATTGTAATGACCAAGAGGCTGAAAGCGCTCGTGAAAATAGGAAGCAATTAAAACATGCGGGCGCGCATCCTGCTCGCACAACGTATCGTCCGCAATTTGTTATAATTACGTAAAACGTAGAGACCGGTTCGCACGATCGGCTGAGCTATTTATGACTTTCAATCCAATGTATATATACCAGTTATATCATTTATAATGGTCGCGACCCTCTTGAAATTATGATAAGTATGCCATCACAGAACATATGTACTCCTCGTAAATCTCATTCCATGGTGTATAATATTTTTCTTCCTTTTTTAAATCTTTTACCGTTAAGTGAAACATGTGTCTGAATATATTACTAATTAATAGATGCATAGATTTCAACTTTGGTGTGAATATACGTGCGTGAAAAGTTGCTTGATAAATCCGCGCGCGCGCGCGCGCGCGCACACGCCAATATCCGGTCTTGAAGAAATTGTTTTTGCAGTGAAATATTACCCGCGCTCTCTTCCACGTCTTTATTTATGGACTTCCGCGCTAAGAATACACTTTACATAATTTACATACTCTCCGGCTATATAAATCGCAATCGTATTTAACCGAAGTAATCCGAATTTTGACCTGGGCGCAGATGACTATTTTTGGATTGCTGTCATGCGTGAGAGAAGAGGAAGCGGCACACCAAGAGAGGATAGCGGCCGCGTAATGGAATCACTTTGACTTTCTTCCGATACGACGTACCAGCTGTCCTTTCGATTTTTTTGCCTTCCAGCAGATAATCGAGTTGCTTACTTTCACTGTGTGTCACGAGAATGCGCAATTTCTGCCTCTGACGCACGATCAAGACGAGACGCAGAATTATTACCGAATCTGCCTGTCGAAAAAAGACGCATTTTACAGTGAACGAGCTACTAGCTTCGAACAGTAGCTACATCCTTGTCGGATGTAACGTCCGCTAGGATTTTCATTGGAAAGGAATCTACAAAGATGAAAAGAAAGCAGCGTTGGACGTTGATCGATCAAAATTTTCCTTGACTGAAATAATCGGCAAATCGATGTCCAAAATTAATCGATCGTCATAGAATCATGTATAGAGTCGCAAATAATTTTATCGTTTAATGAAATGAATTATTAATCAGGGTATAATCAATCACATCGAAGTTTGATGAATAATTGATTGCATTGATTAATGAAATTACATATGACTTTATGTATGACGACTGATTAATGCTGACTATTGATTTGCCGATTATCTCAGTCAAGAAAATTTCTAATCGGTTATTACTCAACACTGAAAGGAAGTATACTGAGAATCCTTGAAGACAGAATGGATGGTGTCTTGCTGAAGAGCAAACACAACAAGCATATTCAAGTGGTACTTTTAAATGTACGGAAGTAAAGATATCTCTCCGCGGGATTTTGATGATAGTTGGAGAGACTTTGAATTACGTGCACACCGATAACGCACACAACGACCAAACGCAAACGTATCAATGCTGCAAAACGCGAATAGGAAGAATAGGAAGAAACAAACGGAATGTGCGACAAATACACTTTAGAAGAATGAATGTCGCCGTTTCATTGCCAGCTTTCAAAAATATTGTCCGTTTTCCCCGCTCGAGAAATCCCGTGCAAGATGATTTGACGAACGCCGCGAAAGTTTGTCTCTCGAATAGATCATCGTGCTTACCGGTGACGCATTTAATGCACGACACGTGTGTAAAAATCACGATATAAAACGAGAATAGAAGTAACGACACAGATCAAAAGTAAGACGAAACGTTAAAATTTCCTAATTTCCTTATTCTTTGTAATTCTTTGTATAAATAAAGTTTTATAATTCAATAAAATATTTTATACATACAAACGAGCTCGCGTAAATTATTTTAAGGATTCTCACACAATTTTGTTTGGATTCTCAATTTTGTATTTTCCTAATCGAATATTTAGAGCACTTCGAAAAGGAAGAATTTCTAACTTTCTTTTCAAATTAAATTTACAAGCGGAAATATCTACAGAAATGGGACAGTGAAATTACAAGCAGATTTAGTGTAATTTACCGAAATGGAATATTTTCGACTCGCCATTTTTTCGGGCATCTAACGGATGTCCCTGTTTCTTCGTTAATACTTAAATCAACAACTTTTTACAGGACCAAAATAGAGAAACAACATATTTTTTCACAGAAATTTTGCATAACAAGGAGCTAATCATGTCGAGAAATTTAAGCAAAAATCCCGGTACGTCGCAGTCAGTTTGCTTCTTACTAACAGAGACTTCTTTGGATCGAGAAGAGAAGTGAACCTCACGTCACTTCTACTTCTACAACTAACTCACCTAACGCAATGCGCTAATTAGTTAGCAAAACTTCCGCGTGTAAATTCCATTTGAAAAGAAAGTTAGAAATCCTTCCTTTTTGAGGTGCCCCAAATATTCGATTAGTAAAATACAAAATTGAGGATCTAAATAAAGTTGTGTGAAAATCTTTAAAATAATTTACGCGAACTCGTTTGCATGTAAAAAAAATATTTTATTGAAATATACTATTTTATTATAAAAAATAATTTTTACAAACTCGTTTTGTAAGATATTTTATAAGCAATTATTAACAATCTCGAATTATACATTTCTTTTGGAAGGAATTTTACGGATCGATATTTTCCACGTGCAGAAAGGTGCAGCAACAAGTTGTACAACCACCTCGGCTTGGAGAAATAGGCTTTTATGCACAAGCCTTTCAACAGCAGCTTCAACCATCCGGAAATACAACGTCGTGGTTTTACGCGAAATCCATTAATAATTTCTGCGGGCGATTCTGCTGGCATGTTACACAATCCAGCGTCCACGTCGTTACATACAAACGCAACACGTGGCTCGACACAT